GGAGATTGAAGTGTTCTCCAACTGGTTTTTGAATGTTATAATTCTTGACGTCAGATTTGTGTCCATTTATTCTTTTACATAGAGACTGTCTGGTTTGGCCAATGTACATGGCAGAGGGGCATTGCTGGCACATGATGGCATATATGACATTGGTAGATGTGCAGGTGAATGAGCCTCTGATAGTGTGGCTGATGTGATTAGGTCCTATGATGGTATCCCCTGAATAGATATGTGGACAGAGTTGGCAACGGGCTTTGTTGCAAGGATAGGTTCCTGGGTTAGTGTTTTTGTTGTATGGTTGCTGGTGAGTATTTGCTTCAGGTTTGGGGGCTGTCTGTAAGCAAGGACTGGCCTGTCTCCCAAGATCTGTGAGAGTGAGGGATCATCCTTTAGGATAGGTTGTAGATCCTTCATGATGCGCTGGAGAGGTTTTAGTTGGGGGCTGAAGGTGATGGCTAGTGGCGTTCTGTTACTTTCTTTGTTGGGCCTGTCCTGTAGTAGGTGACTTCTGGGTACTCTTCTGGCTCTGTCAATCTGTTTTTTCACTTCATCAGGTGGGTATTGTAGTTGTAAGAACGCTTGATAGAGATCTTGTAGGTGTTTGTCTCTGTCTGAGGGGTTGGAGCAAATGTGATTGTATTGTAGAACTTGGCTGTAGACAATGGATCAAGTGGTGTGGTCTGGATGTAAGCTGGAGGCATGTAGGTAAGTATAGCGGTCAGTAGGTTTCCGGTATAGGGTGGTGTTTATGTGGCCATCGTTTATTAGTACTGTATTGTTCAGGAAGTGGATCTCTTGTGTGGACTGGTCCAGGCTGAGGTTGATGGTGGGGTGGAAATTGTTGAAATCATGATGGAATTCCTCAAGGGCTTCTTTTCCATGGGTCCATATGATGAAGATGTCATCAATGTAGCACAAGTAGAGTAGGGTACCCATAGCAATGCCGCTGATTTGAAGGTACACATTGTCCCCAAATGTGAAATAGTTATGGGTGAGAACAAAGTTACGAAGTTCAGCCACCAGGTTTGCCGTGACATTATTGGGGATACTGTTCCTGCCACAAGTACTCCTGTTCTTTTTGTGTATAGTAACAGATTTCATTCCCAACTGGCCCGAGGCTAGATTGGAACCACTGACCTCCCACTGGAAGGCTATTCCTCACCAGCTAATAACAGACTAGTGATCAAATTCTCCCATACCAAGGGAGAGCTATATCAAGGTAACCTCTGTCAGCTAAGAGGCAATTTCCACTAACAATTATCACTGAGGTGACTCCATTTACTTTGTTGCAGTGTTGTTGTAACCATGTTGGCCCCAGGATATTAGAGCGACAAGATGGATAAGGTAAAATCTTTTATTGGACCAACTTCTAAAGCTCATCTCGCTCACCAACAGAAGTTGGTCCAATAAAAGATATTGTCCCTCACCCACTTTTTTTCCACATTTGATTTGGCCTTTATTTATTTATGGTTAAAGTGTAGTTACTTCTGGTAATAAATGAGGTGCATTTACAGAGCACAAGGTGCATGTACAGTGGGGTCCCTGGACTATACACCAGAAGGTGAGTCGGGTGAGATGTATTATCAGAGCTGTATGGAGAGCCTGGGGCTAAAGAAATGGGATGCTACAAACTGGAGTGAGGGGCATTGGCAAAGCTACATGGGAGCCTAGGATTGGATTAGTAAGGGTGCTATAGGGTGAGGGTGAGGAGAATTGGCAAAGAAGGGACGGGGGAGGCTCAGAATTGGAGTGGCAGGGAGCATTACGGGTCAGGACTGAGGGGCACCGATAAAGCTTTGCCTAGTTCTTACCAGTGCTATTAGTTTGGATAGTGCTAGCCCCTGCCACCTCCCATTGTCCCTCCTTTATACAGCCCACTGCCTTCAGCAAGAGCCCCCCCCCCACCCCGTCTGAACAAGCCTTTTCTTCTCAGTGCCATTTGTGCCTTTTCTCTCCACTGGGACCCAGGAGTGTAACTAAGACAGAAAGCAGTTGCTGAGCAACTAGTTGCCCCATAGAGGGAATCTGTGATCCGTCTGCACCTGCCTTCCAGGTTAGGCTTCTCAGGGGATGGGGGACTGTTACCCAGGCTGTTTACAGCATCATCTTTTCACAGCCTGCAGATCCTCTCTCTTGGCAAACCTCCTTTCCCTCTGAGCCATCTTCCATTAGAGAAAGCTGTGTCTCTCCTGAGCACGCTCAGCCCTCTCTGTAGGGCCGGACAGGGCAAAGGCCAAAACAAAGAGATATGGCCTCACATTATTGATCGCCAGGGAGGCCTTGGGCTTGAGTAAACACATGTCTACCAATGTGTGTGCACCCGGCCACATGCAGAGCTGGAGGTTTCAAAGGTAGGTCTGTAGCTCTGGGGGAAACCCCAGTGCCTAGAATTGATCTTCTAGCAAAGGGAGGCTCTTTTTGATCAGTTTGTGGTTCTTTATGCGGCTGTTGTTTTGAAGGAATCCCTTGAAGGTGGAGTAGAGACCCTCGCCTCCTCCCTCCTGCTCCGGGGCAGGGGGATACCCCTGAGGAACGTCAGCTGAAAGGAGATCACAGTGAAGAGCAACATCGGTGTATTCTGATCTCTACTGCATGTGAGAGGGTTGTAGGAGACAGGAAGTGGTGGTGTTAATGGATTCGCTGTTGTCTTTGTGCCCGCTCTTGTTAAGTTAGATGTTTCCATTGAGTTCCTTTTTTTTTTTTTTAAACACTCTTTACATGTGTCTCTGTATTTGAGGAGCAAAGTTGAGGGTTGGGAGGAGCCTCAGTATCGGAGTGAATAAGGAATGCTGGCTGCCCTTTGTTGTTCTCATATGGTCATGCAGCACACACGTTAATACAGACTTCCATGTGTGCACAAACATGTGCATCCACATGCTTCAGCACCCTAGAGACCTCCTCTAACAGGCACTCACATGCACCCCTCACCCCTGCACTCTAACACACACAGGCACAGCCCCATGCATACACATAACTCACTAACATACACGTGTGTGTCCTCCAGGCAGGCAGAGCACCATATAAACAGGCTTTGGAACATGCTAACACACACTCCGGCACTCTCTGACACCCCTGCACACTCCCTCACATTCACGTCCAGGCACACTCATATGTTGACATGCAAATCCTTTGGCCTCTACTAGTATGTTATTGGGTGACAGGACTTTCACAGGGCCTCTTAAGGGACAGTAGAGGGAAAGTGTCCGAGGAGGCCAGCCCAGGAGCATCCAGTCTTGGTAGGCTATGGTACTTCTTAGCAGAGAATCACGGGCGATTACAGGAAGGGGAGTAGGCAGGAATAAGTCAGACAATCAGGTGTTGTGGGAGGAGGGGTAAAGATAGCGATCTGGAAGGTAGAGGGCTGAATTACCATTGCGGGGTCACCGCTCCCTAGTATCCATCAGTGGGGAGGGGGGAGAGGTGGGGTAGCAAGGAGCTACTTTAGTGTGGGTTATGCAGCATTTGAAAGCATTCCTGTTGCCTTGCAGAGCCCTGGAGCTCAGCGGTCTGCATAGGTGATGCTGTTGCATTCAGTGACATTTGGGGGCGGACACAGGTATGCTGGGGAATGTATTAAAAAGTTAGGACATACAGACACTAGGGGCACAGAGACAGCAGGAGGATGGATAGGGCATGATCCTAAAGGTCTCACTCAGCTTCTGCCTAAGTAATGACTGAATAAACTCCTGCGGGACTTCAACAGGAGTTTTGCTTGTGTAAGCAATGAGCAAACTCCTAGGGATTTGGCATAGCTAGGGCCCTACCAAATTCATGGACCATTTTGGTCAATTTCATGGTCATATGATTTTAAAAATCGTAAATTTCATGATTTTAGCTATTTAAATATGAAATCTCACAGTGTTGCAATTGTTGGGGTCCTGACCCAAAAAGGAGTTGGGGGGGGTTACCAGGTTATTTTAGGGGGGTTGCAAAGATATTGTGTGTATGGGGGGGTTGCGGTGCTGCTACCCTTACTTCTGCGCTGCTGGTGGTGGTGGCGCTGCCTTCAGAGCTGGGCAGCTGGAGAGTGGCAGCTGCTGGCTGGGAGCTCAGCTCTGAAGGCAGAGCCACCACCACCAGCAGCACAGAAGTAAGGATGGCCTGGTATGGTATTGACACCCTTACTTCTAGGCTGCTGCATGCAGAGCTGGGCCCTCAGTCAGCAGCCACCACTCTCTGGCCGCCCAGCTCTGCAGGCAGCAGTGCAGAAGGAAGGGTGGCAATACCATACCAGGCCATCCTTACTTCTGCTCTCCTGCTGGCAGTGGCTCTGCCTTCAGAGATGGTATGATATGGCATTGCCACCCTTACTTCTGTGCTGCTGCTGACAGGGTGCTGCCTTCAGAGCTGGGTACCCAGCCAATAGCCACTGTTCTCCGGCCGCCCAGCTCTGAAGGCAGCGCAGAAGTAAGGGTTGCAATACCGCAACCCCCAGGCAACTCTCTTTTGGGTCAGGATCCCCAATTTGAGAAATGCTGGTCTCCCGCATGAAATCTGTATAGTAGAGAGTAAAAGCACAGAAAAGACCAGATTTCACGGTCTGTGATGTGTTTTTCATGGCCGTGAATTTGGTAGGGCCCTATGCATAGATAACAAGGGGATGTACCAATAGGAAGAGGAGCATATAGATGATAAAGGACACATAGGAAGGGAGCAAGGGATGTGAAGATAATACAGCCTGATCCTTGGTCTGCTGCCTGACTAGATGCCCATGATGGAGGCTGAGGAAGATGCAAACACCCCATCTGAGGATGAACCCAAGAGCAAGGCTCGTGACTGCCTGCGCTATGCACCCCTCTGGATAGTCCTTGTGCTGTTGGCTGGAGCTGGAGTGCTGACCTGGTATTTCCTAGGTAACAGTTCTAAGGTGTTTTGTTCTTTATGCTGGTGCTCATGTGTCCTAGCAAGGAGGAAGCCGATTTAGATGCCAAAGAGAATCAGTGACTCCTGGATGGGTCGCCATGGGTCAACCATCTGTGCACTGATTCCCTAGGGAGCTAGCTACGTTCCCCCACCCACCCAAAGAACCCTCTGTCCTCCACATCCATGGGTTAATCTGCCTGTGTCTTTTGTTGTCAGACTACAGACCACGACACTTGGAATCAACCGTCCTGCAGTTTTACTCCGGCAGCCTCCGGATCCTCAATTGTCAGTACTCCCTGGACCTTGGACGGCCAGAATCCAGAGCCTTCTGGACTGAGTCAGCAAAGCTACAGAAGATGGTGAGGGTGGTTTCATGTGTGGGAGCTGAGGCTGAGTGGGGGAATGGGCCACAGGTGCTTCTGTGAATGGAAGACTAGGTGGGTTATACCAAAACAGAGGGGGCTGGAGCACTGGGTGGGTTCCATGGGAAGTTTGCTGTTGTACTCTTGCTGGCTAGTTATCAGTTGGCATTCTTATTACAGCTGAGGGAACTTATTCATGTCACGGACCTGGATCCATATTACAACTCCAGCACAGTATATGCCTTCGGGTGAGTGTTACATCTACATTTGTTTGCTTTTCAGGACTCTGTCTCTCCTGTCCTATGCGAAAGTTACAGCTAGGTTGTGATCTTGTTCAGTAGCCATCTGTTCATCTGACAAGAGCTGCTGCAACCTCCATTCTTACTCCACCTGGGCTCTGGACTAAAGCTGATTGAAAAATGGAATTTCCATCCCACAGGAAATTCCAATAATTCAACGTTTGTTTTCAGCCCAAACTGAGATGAAAAGTCAAAATATCGAAACTTCTTATGGAATGAAAAGTCCAGAAAAAAATTAATTAGGAAATGTCAAAAGGTTTAGTCTCAGCATTTTCTATTGAAAGACTGTTTTAACATTCTTGAATCGAAATGTTTCATTTTGTACTGTCAACACAAAATGAAACACCACAAAGACCATGGTGCATCCTGGGAGATGCAGTTCTGCACGGGGCAGGGCCCATAAGGGAGAAGTGGAGTAGGGGGGACCTGGAACTACAACTGCCTCAGGGCACTGTGGTGGCTAGGGCAGATGTGGAGATTAGTGTCAACATGATCCCAACATTTTGGTTTGATTTTCCCAATGGCAAATTACGTCAACAGCAATCTTTGCCCACAGAAAATTTCTATTTCAGAAAAACAAAAAACTTTTTCCAGCAGGAAAATGTTTCATTCACATTTTTTCCACTCAGGCCTACAGTCGCTCCCCAGCTTGGGCCATTTTCTCTGTCATTCAGCTGAGAAACTACGGCGGTTGTGATCTCTTGCACTGTATCAATGGTCCTTGCACAGGATTAAAGGCTCATTCTGATCAGCTGAACAGAGTCTAGCATCAGTCACTTGTCACTACTGGGAGATGGGACATGGAGCCTTAAAGGTCAACATTTTCAATCTATGTCAGCAGTGACCACAAGTCATTTCCACCTGAAGCACATTCAAGTGGATTATAAAAAAGTTTAATGATCTCATTTTAGTTTCTAATGGGCAGGTGTCCAGATAATTAAACGCACCATTACCAGTGGCACAAGATGGCTTCCTCAGCAGAAAGACCAACTATTGAATGGACCATGGACAAACTGGCTCTTCTTTTCCACTAAAGGTGTGGTCTCTCTAGGTTGGGGCTGAGGCACATTGGTGGGGCAGTGTGCTTTGGGACGTTTGCACTGATGTGTCTGATCTGAGCTAAAGAGAGGAGGAGATCTGTCTCCAGGGCTGTCAGTGAGGTGACTCTCACCAGTGCTGAACTCACTCGAAATGAAAAGGATGAAGGAAATTAATGTGCTATCTCCCTGCTAGGGAGGGGTCCCTGACCTTCTTCTTCTGGTTCGCCCTTCAAGTCCCCGAGAGTCAGCACAAGGAGATGACTGCTGAGAGGGTGAACATGACTCTCTGCAGAGAGCTTCTCGCCAGCGCCAACAGTACAAGCCGCCTCTCCTACCAGACAGAGTACAAGGTTGATCCAGACTCTCTGGTTCTGCTGGGTGAGTATCAGCCACCCAAGTGTGACCTAAACTTTCAGGATTAGGGGCTGAGGCCTATAAGTTGCTGCAGGCAGGTTGAGAGGCTAGACTGAATGGCATTACTGAAAGGGAAGGAGAGAGGAAAAATAGAGGAAGGGTAGAGTGTATGCTAGAGGGAAAGGCAGAAGACAGAACAGGACAGGGGAATGAATTACAAGTGTTTCCTCCTTGAACAGGACACACTTTTCATGAAGTTTGATTATTCCCCTGAAGAATTATAGACTCATGGAGTAAGAGATGGCAGTGACTGACTAGGCAGCATCTTGTCCTTTCCTCTGCCTCCTCCTTCAGCTTTGGCAAGCACAGAGTTGTTCCCTGCACTATATGCTTTGCAGCTTTACTCCAATGTCCCAAGCAACCGGGCTTCCATGACGTTCCTTGGGAGACTATTCCACTCTCTGATAGACTGAGAACAGAGCTGAATGCAACATACTTAGATTACAATTGTTTCTGCTTCATGATGCTTGTCATATTTCCATCATTTCAATTCCTTATATTGACTTCAAGATTTTTTTTTTATCAGTGCAAAAAATAGAGATCATGGCTTGTTAAAGTGTCCTGGGAATGAGGGCCTGGCAACTGCCCTTGATATTTCAGGTCTTTTATAGGCCTTGATCCAAAGTCCATTAAGTCAGTGGAAAAAAATGCCATTGATGGCACTGAGGTTTGGATCAGGCCCATGGTGTGATTGCTCCCTCCTTGCTCTGTGATACCTCTGTGCAGAGAGCCCACAATCAGGACCAGCTCTAGGCACCAGCAAAGCAAGCACGTGCTTGGGGCGGCACATTTCCAGGGGCGGCATTCTGGCCATCCTTTTTTCCCCTGAAAAATCCACCAATGGACGGATCGGGCAGTGCTAGGACCTGGCGGCAGCCAGGCTGGCTCTGCACAATGTGCTTTGCTCGCGGAGCAGCTCCCAGCCCGGCAGAGCCAGGGGGAGTGGGTATGAGGCAAAGTCCCCGGCTCCTGCTCGCAGGGGGGAGGAGAGGAGCCGCTTTGACAGATGTGGCCAGTTGCTGACACCCGATCCGCCGGGCCAGGGAGCGCAGACCAGCCCGGCTGCTTAAAGCGCAGCGGTGGGGGGAAGTGGCTCAGAGCAAGGCACGCCCTGGGGGGAACCAGCCCAGACCCAAACGGAACCGAAGGTAACGGGAGGCAAAGGTGTCCCGGGGCAGTGGCAGCTGGCGGGGCTGCAGCTGGGTGGAGAGGGGGAAAGTCCTGTTTAGGGGGGCAGCCACTGGATTATTAAAAGACAGACCTGCCACAGGAATTGGCCCCAGATTATGGAACTCACTCCCACACAAGAGATGTATGACAACACACTTCACCACATTCAGAACTAAAGGTAAAACTCAATTCTTCAACTTGTTTTTCTTTCAGTAAGTTAATGGTACACACACGCCACACCCACTTACACTCAAACATATACACCAACAACAGTAAAGAACCCAGGAACCAACCAATCCTTCCTCCTGCTGGTTCACAAGGAGGAGAGAGAGAGATATCATTATTTCTGTTTCCAAATAATGCCAGTAGATAGATATGTGGACTACCACAGCACACTTGTACTTGGGGAGAAAACTATTGTCAGAAGCTGAACTCAGTAGCCAGGGTTGTTGGCAAGAACAGGCTGATGTAAGCACACTACACAGGACTCTGCACACATTATACTGGTGTACATTGCATTCACCATCCATTGAAGTTTTTTCTGGTCTTTACTCTCAAATATCTTAATGGTTAGGCCTGAGCCATCTTTGAGCCAACTGCTCCCTTGTGACCAAGATCTCTTAAGCCTCATTTTTGCTAATGAAACTAACAGGAGCTGAAGGTAGACTTAGCGGTAACAAGCCCACCACTATAAAACTCCCTCTGTTTCACAAAAGCTGAGGATGACTAAAAAGTCAACTGTTTTTAGAGAAAAAGTGTAAGGCCCATCTCTTTGTCATGGTATTAATGATAACTTAAAACCAAAATCCTACTCAGCTCTCACCTCCTCTGGCTGTGTTCAAAATGCTGTTGAGAAAAGCTGAAAGATTACTCATAGACTCATAGACTTAAAGGTCAGAAGGGACCATTATGGTCATCTAGTCTGACCTCCCGCATGATGCAGGCCACAAAAGCTGACCCACCCACTTTCCCTTAACTCAGCTGTTGAAGTCTCCAGATCGTGATTTAAAGACTTCAAGTCGCAGAGAATCCTCCAGCTTGCGACCCCTGCCCAATGCTGCGGAGGAAGGCGAAAAACCTCCAGGGCCTCTGCCAATCTACCCTGGAGGAAAATTCCTTCCCGACCCCAAATATGGCGATCAGTAGAACCCCGAGCATACAGGCAAGATTCTCTAGCCAGACCCACATTTTACCAGCGATGGCACTTTATTACCTAATTGACTAAAATCACGTTATCCCATTAAACCATTCCCTCCATAAACTTATCTAGCCTAGTCTTGAAGCCAGAGAGGTCTTTCGCCCCCACCGTTTCCCTCGGAAGGCTGTTCCAAAATTTCACCCCTCTGATGGTTAGAAACCTTCGTCTAATTTCAAGCCTAAACTTCCCCACGGCCAGTTTATATCCATTCGTTCTCGTGTCCACATTAGTACTGAGCTGAAATAATTCCTCTCCCTCCCTGGTATTTATCCCTTTGATGTATTTAAAGAGAGCAATCATATCCCCCCTCAGCCTTCTTTTGGTTAGGCTAAATAAACCGAGCTCCTCGAGTCTCCTTTCATAGGAAAGGTTTTCCATTCCTCGGATCATCCTAGTGGCCCTTCTCTGTACCTGTTCCAGTTTGAATTCATCCTTTTTAAACATGGGAGACCAGAACTGCACACAGTACTCCAAATGAGGTCTCACCAGCGCCTTGTATAACGGAAGGAGCACCTCCTTGCCCCTACTAGAAATACCTCGCCTAATGCATCCCAAGATCGCATTAGCTTTTTTAACAGCCGCGTCACATTGCCGGCTCATAGTCATCCTGCAATCAACCAGGACTCCGAGGTCCTTCTCCTCCTCCGTCACTTCTAACCGATGCGTCCCCAGCTTATAACTAAAATTCTTGTTAGTCATCCCTAAATGCATCACCTTACACTTCTCACTATTAAATCTCATCCTATTGTTATTACTCCAATTTACAAGGTCATCTAAGTCTCCCTGCAGAATATCCCGATCCTTCTCCGAATTAGCAATACCTCCCAACTTTGTGTCATCCGCAAACTTTATCAGCCCACTCCTACATTCGGTTCCGAGGTCAGTAATAAATAGATTAAATAAAATCGGACCCAAAACCGAACCTTGAGGAACCACACTGGTGACCTCCCTCCAACCTGACAGTTCCCCTTTCAGTACTACCCGCTGCAGTCTCCCCTTTAACCAGTTCTTTATCCACCTCTGGATTTTCATATCGATCCCCATCTTTTCTAGTTTAACCAATAATTCCTCATGCGGTACCGTATCAAACGCTTTACTAAAATCGAGGTATATTAGATCCACCGCATTCCCTTTATCTAGAAGGTCTGTTACTTTCTCAAAGAAGGAGATCAGGTTGGTTTGGCACGATCTACCTTTCGTAAACCCATGTTGTAATTTGTCCCAGTTACCATTCAACTCAAGGCCCTTAACTACTTTCTCCTTCAAAATTTTTTCCAAGACCTTGCATACTACAGATGTTAAACTAATTGGAGGCATTGCAGAAAGTTCTGCAAAGGGGAAGAGAAAAAAAAAGAGTTCAGGTCTACAGATAGGACACCCATGCGGAGTAATGTGTTTGTGTTAGGTACTCAGATATGCGACGAGTGTGGCATAAACATTTAGCTAGGTACTTTTGGCAGAAAATCCTTAGGATATTTATTTGGTATGTGTTCTCAGCATGTGATTGGTAGGAACTCCCAGAACTGTAGAATTATAGGGATAGCTACTCCCTAAGCCAACAGGTGGCAGTGTCAGGACTCCCGCTCAACCTCCATGGAAATACTCATGTGAATAACATTACTCACGTGTATAAATGTTTGTAGGATCCAATCCATAAGTAGATCAATGAAATACTGAATTTATTTTATAGCCAAGGATTCCAAATTTTTTGAGGAGTAGTGGTTATTCCTTGGGTTATAACTGGTGACAAAAGAGGAGTTTCCGTTGACTGCAGTGCTCTTGGTTATAAAATAAATTTAAAAGATGCTAACATTTCCAGTTCCTCAGGACTAGAGGGGCAGCCAACATTTTTTTTTGCTTGGGGCAGTAAAAAACCTAGAGCCGGCCCTGCCCACAATGACTGTGTTTGTTTGTTTAAATTCTGCCCTATTGCATTGCAAACTCATCTCTAATTTGCTATCGTTGTTACTCCCGGGGTCTCTTTCACTATTGCCAATTCCAAGTTTCTCATTAAATAACATGTTTCCAACCATTTCCCCCTAGATACATTATCTGGCATTTTTCCCAGATTAATCTTATTTTGGTATATCCCTACCCTATTTCTCACTTCACAAGGTCCTTTTCTCTCTGTTCTCATGGCTGTTTTTTAATTTAGTATTGGGGAATGTCATTAAAATGCTTTTGACTCCCTCTTCCAGATCATTAATGAAGATGTTAAATAAGACCAAGCCTAACGTCCCATTGAACACCTCTCTCCATTTAATAAATTGCCATTTATAATTATTTTTTATTTGCAGCTTTTCAGTTTCTGGTGCACTGTATGTGACAGCGCTCACATTCGAGCCAATTTAAATTAAGATTTCATGAAACACATGCCTAATGATTCACTAAAAATCAAGCTATATTGCATCTTCTGCTTCCCCTTTATCCACTAATTTAGTAATTCTATCAAAAAAAGCAATCAAGTTTGTCAGTACCATTATCTTCTAAAGGTTTCCAGTTTTTTCCTCTCATTCCCTTCACATTTGTTCATTATTTTATTAGGGTCTAAAGTTAGCTTTGCTCAATTCTAATTGCCTTGATCATCTATTGGGGTTTCCCTGTTTCTCCAGGACATTTCAAAAGTAAATGTCTGTAGTTGAGTAAGATTGGATAGTTTGGGAAGAAGTAGGTCTAGCGCCTAGAGCAGGGGGCAAAAATCAGGACCCTCAGGATTCCATCCCTGGGATAGACACTGCCTTGGCAAATCACTTAATCTAGGTCTTTGTTTAGCCATCTGTAAAGTGGGAATAAAACGATAGTTAACAATTCCTTTACACTTTCCAACCTCACAGCTTGTTGAGGTGTAATTAATTGACAGCAGTAAAGTGTTTTAAAACCCTCAGCCAAATGCTCCTATGTGAAGACTCTTAATATTACTAAATTTGTTAGCTGCCTCTCTTTATCATAGGGTGCCTATTTTATCAACCCACTGATTTGTATGTGGTCAGATCTTCCAAGTCTTCCCTCACTTTTTTACTAATACCTATTTGTAAGCCCACAATCTCTCTCTAGCCATAGGATTTCAGCCCCTTTTCTTTCAGGAACTCATTTCTCCAGAATAAAATCTATTTAACACAGGTTCAAAAATATAATCACATCCTTTCACCCTGACTCAAGGTCTTCTTTAGGAGCCGATCTACTCCCTATAGGATTACCCTCAGCAGGCCATCTGCCTAGGAATCATATGTAATCTGGCCTCTTTCCCCTGCCCTAGAAACTCCTGAAACCACAATCTTCCCACCCACCAGCAGCCCTCCACTCAACAAAGCTCTTGCTGGCCTTTATGAGGACCAGGTGATCTACAAACTATCACCTGATCACTGCCTCTTAGCATGAGCTGGGAGGCAGCTGATCAGTCACAGGTGGGGCTGGGCCCAACTCCCCTAAATGGGCCAACCACACTCTGACACTATTTTTTTAAACAGGTTTGTGGATTGTCCTCTCTTTATGTTCCTTTTTAAAGGGACATTTTATAAAGCAGTTCAATATTCCATCTATTGGACATCACTCATTGGGGGCTTTGTTCTCTCTCCATCCCTGTCTCTCGGAGACTACAAGAAACTCCCACTGTTTTCAATGGAAGTTATTCATATCCTGCAACAGGAAGAAGAGGACCCCAAATTTCTTAATTCCCCATAACTGATTTTCTTGTTAAAGAATCCCTTTGGACTGCAGTATTCTGTTAACCTAGTATTCACTGTGCCAAACTCACATACCTTGTGGTCACTTGTACCAATCCTCCCTGTTATCTTCACATTTTCAGTTGGTTTTTTTTTCATTCATAACCCTCTTTGACAGCAGATTCAAAGCCCACTGAAGTCACTGGAAAGAATCCCCCTTCCTTGAGGCCCTGAGTGAGAAGAGCCCAATCCCCTTTGGGATTTGGATCCTTCTACCCCCACATCTCTGCTCACCCCAACGGACTTTCTTTCCATCTAGAGTAAGAGAGAAGAAAGGAGGAAAGTGGGTTGGGTCACAGGCAGGTAGCCAGGGTAGAGCCTGGGAGGCGTGGGAAGCCAGGCACTTCCCTGGGGTACTAGTGCTTGACAATGAGCATGGTTAGGAGGGGAAGGGCCTAAGGCCACGTGGGGTGTGGCTAAAGAATGGTGGCCTAGGTTAATGACTGACTTGTGTGGGAAGAAGAGAATATGCCTGGGAGAGGATCAGGTGATGGCCAAGTAAAGAAGGAGAGAGGCTCATGGCAGGTTGGGGCATCATGGGTAAGAGGGACAGGGCCCAGGATAGGTTGGACAAGGATGGAGGAATGGGAGATAGAGAAGGTGACCAAAGTAGATCTTGATAACAGGCATAGTAAGGAATGAAGGCACCCAGGGTAGTGCTTGATGGGGGGACCACTGGGCACAGAAAGGAGGAGAGGGGCCCATCCTGCAGCTTAGATTTTAGGTACTACAGATTCTTATGGTTTTTTTCTTTCTTTTATATATTTCCTTTCCAACAGAATCCAGTGTGAAAGACATAGTAGTGCTGAAGTCCACTCTGGGTAGGCCATCCTTTCCCTTGCTTTTTGAGTTCATTTTGTTTGGGGGGATTTGGTGAGGGGCCAGAATTATTTTGTTTACTGTCCTGAGATGTGAGATCAAGGAAAATGAGGGGAAGAGGATTGTATTCATGAAGCACGGATGCTGCACACAGTGAATAACACTTTCAAAAGCACCACTGTGACTTAGCAGCCTAAATCCCATTGACTTTCAGATCCTCAGAGGCGTTAGGTATTTATCTCAATGGAAGTTAGGCACTGAAATATTTTTGAGGATCTGGGCTAAGGTGCCTAAGTCACATAGGTGCTTTTGAACATTTAACCCGGTGTCACAACAAACTCTCTGGCTAATAGCTGGACATTTGCGTTCAGGCTCTGCGTGTGCATGCATGGTGTGCACTTGGAAACTCACTCTTCCCTTCACTTACAGTCCCCATTCAGAGCTGCCAATCCAAAGAGAATTAGAAGTGTCAGTAGAACAGGCAGCATGTACTCTAAATGGGATACACAGTAAGTGGAGGACGGGGCCAGGAACAAGGAAAATGGGTCAAACAGAGGGAAATATGAGAATGAGAGTCTGCCTAGAAGAAGGCAATAATTAGCTTGGAGTAGGGTAGTGAGAGGGGACTGGTGTCACTGGGAGGAACTAGGGTAAAGTGTGAAAGTAAAGTGAGATCACTGGGAGGAACTGGGCTAACACAGAACCTAACTGGCTTGTATTGGTCATCATTAGGGTATCTTGTTGGTAAGAGCCCCTTCCCTGACACTCAGCTAACAGCACTCTGGGGTTCTATTTGTCTCATGGATTCAGGTTGCTACAGGTACAGCCACATCAGGGCGGAGGAAGTTCTCAGGCTGAAGGGCCCTGACTACTTGGCCTCCAGTTGTCTTTGGCACCTCCGTGGTCCCAAAGGCCACATGATCAAACTACGTCTGGAGTGGACCCTCCCGGAGTGCAGGGACCGGCTGGCCATGTATGATGCAGCCGGGCCACTGGAGAACCGTCTCATCACCTCGTAGGTAGCTTTCATATGACAGTGATATAAAATACAGCAAATGGTAGGAAGAAGTCGAGTCAGTTGGCGCTACTTACCCTTTCTGACAGTATACCAACTCACCTGTAGAACTCACTGCTGTGGGATATTAGTGAGGCAGCCCTTCAGTTTAGTAAAAAAAATAAAATAAAAAATGTTCAACTAGTTGAAGTGTTTAGATGAATAAGAACAGCAACTCCACAGTGACAGTGGTAGTGGAACAAGAGATTGTGCTTCAGAGACCAAGGAGTTTCATGAGAACATCACTTGATATAGGACTCCTCCTCAGAGCAGCCCAGATCTTAGGGTCAGGAACCTTACAAGAGGATCCTTGGACAGATCCTTTGCTAGTATAAATTGGTGTAGCTGCACTCATAGGCGCCGACTCCGTGGGTGCTCCGGGGCTGGAGCACCCATGGAGAAAAATTAATGGGTGCTGAGCACCCACCGGCAGCTCCCCGCCCCGCCCCCCCCGCTCCAGCTCACCTCCATCTCTGCCTCCTCCATGAGCGCGCCGCCACGTCCTGCTTCTCCCCCGTCCCTCCCAGCACTTGCGCCACGAAACAGCTGTTTCGCGGGACAGGGAGGGAGGGGGGAGGAGGAGGTATGCGGCGTGCTGGGGGAAGAGGCGGGGCTGGGTCAGGGATTTGGGGAAGAGATCCAATAGGGGCAGGGAGGGCGCAGAGTTGGGGCAGGGACTTTGGGGAAGGGGTTGGAATGGGGCAGGGCCAGGGGCGGGGAAAGGGTGGAGTCGGGGCAGGGCCAGGGGCAGGGGGCGCAAGCACCCACCGGCACCGGAGAAAGTTGGCACCTATGGCTGCACTGACTTCAGTGTAACTCTGCTGATTTTACACCAGCTGAAGCTCTGACTAAGATTCCTTAGGAATGGGGTCTGATCCATATTAAGGTTAGAGGGAGAACAGGGGCTCCTGAAGGCTCTAAAATGACTGATTTATGGATGAGGGGTGCGATGGGTTGGTCCCCCTTCTGGGGTGCCACCTGATGTACTGGGGTTCCACTGAGCCTGCCCGTACCACCAGCCTGGGCTCCCTCACCCTGTCCTGCTGCACACACACACACACCTGCAAAGAGACACAGATCAGCTCTGTGTAGGAAGACTCAGCCTCGGGGATTGCCCAGCACTCAGGTGCACACACCCTCTGGAGTGTAAACCCAAAATTACACTGTCTTGCGCTGGGTGGAGATCTATACAGCATAAGTCATGAAATTCGCTCCCCCTCTCAGTGTGGAGGAAGGTATGCACAGCTCCCCCTCTCAATGTGGAGAAAGATATGCACAGCTTTTTGCCCTCCCAGTTATGAATTACACAAACTGGTTATAGAATAAACAAAAAAACAAGTTTATTAACTATAAAAGGTAGATTTTAAATTATTAAAAGGGATAGCAAACAGATCAAAGCAGATTACTGAGCAAATAAAACAAAACACACAACCTAAGCTTAATACACTAAAACAACTAGTTAATAGTAGAACATTCTCACCCTAAATGTTGTTTTGCGCAGGTTGCAGAGTTTCTTGAAGGTAAACTGCACTGCTTGCAGCTTAAATATCCGGGTATTCCTCTCACAGGCTAGACCTTTCTTACCTGCGCTCCCTGCCCCCGCAGCTTAGTTCCTTTGTTTCTCCAGGTGTTTTCAGCAGTCTTCCTTCTTGGGCTGGGATGCAGTGAAGAAGAACCAAGATTAATTCACTTCCCAGCCTTAAATAGGATTTGCATATGGCGGGAATCCTTTGTTTCCCAGTTTGACCCCCCACCCCCTCCTAGTGGAAAAATACCAGCAGTCCAAGATGGTGTCCAGTATCAGGTGACATGATCACATGACCCTGCAATGTCAAAGCAGCATCCTAGGAAACTTCTCAGGAAGGAGGGAGATTAGTATCTGTAAAGTCCTATTGTCCTTCCTAATGGTCCATGCAGGCTGATTGCACATTGTCTGGTGGGCGTTCCCCAAGCGTAAACACAGTTGTAGTTGTTATACTCAATATTCCTAACTTCAGATGCAGAAATGATATATGCATACAAATAGGATAATCATATGCAGTAAATCATAACTTTCCAATGATACCGCTCATGACCCATCTTGCATAAAATACATCTTAGTTATGCCATATTCATATCTTAAGCATATCTCTATGAGGAATATGTGGCATAGCGTCACAAGAGGTACCCTGTGGTCTCAGAGTCCTCATGAAGGTGATCTGGTTTGAGACAAGATGAAGGTCCTAACAAGGGGTGGGGGCATGCTCCCCCACCCTGATCTGAGCCCTTTTCTCCATGCTATGCCTTGATTTGGTTACTAGACCCAGAGCTTCAAAGGTATTTAGGCTCCTAATATCCATTGATTTTGATGAAAGTCAGAAGCCTAAACACCTTTGAGTCAGAAGCCTAAACACCTGGGCCTTAGTGTCTAGCAACATACTGAAGTTAAAGGTCTGAATAATCTCATCCCCTCTTTTTCCTCTCTCCCCGTCTCTTGCCACCACTTCGCTCCTCTCCTTTCCTCACCTCCTTTACTCATTCCCACCCTCTTTCACACTTCCTGCTATCTCTTTCCTCTCAGATTCTATGGCTGCAGCCGTCAGGAGCCCATGGTGGAAGTCCTTTCTTCGGGCCAAGTCATGTCTGTGGTATGGAAGAAAGCGATGTACAGCTACTACGATCCTTTCATCCTCACCACCCAGGCTGTGCCCTCTGAAGGTGAGGAAGGCTGGAGGGAAAGTATGGAGAATGAAGGAGCTAGGAGCGCTCACACAGTGCAGATCCCTTGTCAGTTAGCCTCACACGTATTCTACAGGTCACTTCACCCACCATCACAAGATGCTCCCACTGAGATGGAACGTGGCAGCTGTTTCGCATAGAAACACCACACAACGGTTTGGGATAGGAATTCATTAAAGATTGTGTGGCACTTAGATGCTCCAGTGATGGCAGCCAAAAAAAGGACGGAGATAGATAGAAGTGAGGAGTCCTGCATTCAGCTAAAGCCACAGGGGAATTTAGGTCAGCAGAATGGACTCCTATTGGAAATTGGCCAGGAGAAGGAGGTTAACAACCTTACTTTGCACAAAGTGCCATGGGATCTTTAATAACCAGGAGAGGTCAGGGCTTGGGTTGTCCTGACAGAAGACAACACTAATGTCTCAGTAACCCCTAAGGCCAGGCTGGAGCAATGGCACTGAGTCAGCGGGAAGAGCACCGCCTGTTACAGCAGCACCACTGCTTTGGACACCTCTCTGACGGTCTCCCACGCTAGTACAAGCCAGGCTTGACCCCTGCTTACCTCATGAGAGCACAGCGTGTAGCCTTTCCCAGTTGGGCTTTCCTCTTTTTCAGCCACTTACTCATTTTTGAGCTGTACTCACTGCCCTTTTCTCTAGCTCTGGTCTCTTGGTATCTCCTGCACTATGATCCTTCACCCTACCGTCCCCAGCTCTTCCCGACGTGTACACACTGTGGCATAGCAGTGTAGTGAGCCAAGCAGGCATCCACACCTGCAGTTGATTCCCTCAGCTGTCTGCCTCTGAGGGGCCCTCTCATCAGGAAGTAGCTCCCCTGGGATGTTTCTGGGGCTCCCAGCGAACCCAGCTGGGAAAGCAGGATGTTGGCCCCACAGAGAACACAGACCATGAGCACAGCAAGCAGCCTCATGTGTCTCTAGCAAACGTGTAGCCTGCGCCTTCCCCCATTCTTCTCTGGAGGGTGGGGCATGTCCCTTTTTTCTGCAGCAGGCGAAGATCCAGTTTTCCCAGCTGACGTGTGTGTGTGTGTGTGGGGGGGGGGGTGTCTGTGTTTTCAGACTGCCAGGTGAATCTAACACTGCAGGGAGGCCTGGAACTGCAGGGGAAGATCAACACTCCACACTACCCGAGCTACTACTCGCCCAACACACAGTGCACCTGGCTCATGATGGTGAGCCCCCTGGCCCCTCCTCTTTCCCTAGCCAAACCTTTCCACAGTAGTGGCTTTGAACAGAACTCCAGGGCATCCTTTCCCCTTCACCACTGCTCTGTGGCAATGCCCTCTCCACTCAGACTCAAGTGGCACAAGGGGGCTGAGTGCCAGGCGGTTTCATCTCTGCAGACCCTACTGCAGAGGGTCTCAAACAGAAGGTCATGAGATCACAGCCATCCAGCTCTTCCTGTAATGCTAAATGGGAGGGAGTCCCCGCTAGATTCCCACCTAGATGGGAGGAAGGTTTGAGGGGAGAGGTTTCCTGTAAGGAAAAGGCTGGGAATCATTGCCCTACAATACTTCCAATTCTGGCTTTAGTTCCCAATGAACTGACTCTTGTGGCTCTCCTCCTAGATCTCTACCCTGGACTTGTGACTATCAAATAAACTCACTAGGCAGTCGCCTTCTGTTCTTCAAATCCGGCCTGTCTCAGTTCAACCAAGACCCAGCATTAGAGTAGCAGGGATGAGGAGAGAGGTGCACTGGCTGGAACAGCAGGGTTCCTGCATGTCAGGGCTGAGGTGCTTTGGCAGAGCTGAAAGTAGGATCTAGGACTGGAACAGTCAGCCGTGCTGGAGGTGCATTGGGAAAGGTGTTTAGGGGGAGGTAGGAGTGGTCTAGCAGGGAGTGTTGGAGGACATGACTGAGGTGCTCTGGCAGAGGTCTTAGAGGCAGGTCTGGAATGACAGAGGGTGCCACACTTCAGGATTAAGGTGGGCAGTGGCCTGGTGCCTGTGTAGACTGTGCCTAATTCTTGCCAGCTGGGCACTGTGTGAATTCACTGCTCTCCCATTTGTGTTCATTCTGCCCATTTCATGCCTATGGCCCCATTTGGTTGGATGGAAATGTAGTTTTCTGCTGCTACCTCAGTTCTGCTCTTGGACCACTCTCCATGCAGGTCCCATCTCTTGACTACGGAGTTGTCCTGTGGTTCGATGCCTACACGCTGAGGAGACAGAAGTATGATCTGCCATGTACTCAAGGCCAGTGGATTATTCAGAACAGAAGGTGTGTGCTCATGTTCTTGCTGGATTGTCAGTCTCCACCTCCAACCCCAGATTACTTCTGCATGAGTCTCAATTCGCCCCCAGCCCTCTCCTGTTTAGCCAGTCCCCAGGTCTGAAGGAGGAGATTCCTGCTAGGAAACATTTGCCAGCTCTAACTTCTATCTACTTGCTCCCACTCTGTCATTTGATCTGTGCCATTAACTGTAACAGCTACTACTGTGCTGATAGCACTCAGTTGTCCATATCTTTTTCAATACTCTAGTGACTCCTCCTTGTCCACTGACTGCCTATCTTGACCAAGTAAATGTATGGCTTTGCCTCAGCTTCCTTCAGAAAAGCATCTTAGAGAGAGAAGTGCTTCTTTTGGGCAAAGGCAACATCCCCAAACCTCTCCAGTGTCGCTATCAACTTCTCTTCTTCCTCGTGCTGTGTAAAGCAAACGGTCTAGTTTCCCCCACTGTGTGCAGCCCTGGCATCCTCCCACACCTCCTGTGTTTGCAAATGTGCCTATCACCACCTCTGCAGTAGCGTCTGTGTGTGCTACTGCCTCGAATCCTCCTCCGCACAAATCTGCCTCTGAGTCTCTGCCTCTTCCTGCTTTGCCTATAAAAACTCCCTTCTATAAAAGCTTCTTTAGGGCCTCCCTAAGCCCAGCTGCCATCATGCACTGGCTGCCGCTGCCCACCTTCTCCCACGTACAAAGAAGCATGGCCACTGTACTGCCATCCTCAGACCCCTCCAGCTGGCCCCGCTTTCATTTTAGGAGCCTGTTCAAAATTGCCCTCTTATTTTAAAACCCTGTTTGGGCCTTTTCCAACCTACCTCGCAGATCTTGTCTCTGCTGCTCACCTGACCTCAGCCGCCTCTGTCTTTGGACCTGATCCAGGGAGTTGTTCCAATGACCTCAGATTCTCCACTATGGGTGTGTCAGCCTGTCATCAGCAACAGCTGTCTTGTATGTCTCATTTCACCAACTTCCCCTCTATTTGCATCCCTTCCTTGCATGTACTTTTTTCTTCCTTTCTCCCTGGTCCAACCTCTCTTTAACTCTTATTTAACCATGTGAAGCATCTAGGATATGATGTCATAGGAAAGACAATATAGAAATAGCATTGGATTAGACAGCCTAAATTCTGCTCTTCCCCAGACAGGTAGGTGGAGTCATCCTGGATTTATGCCGAGGTAACAGCAGAATTTGGGCCAGTGGACTGTGTATAAAATATGGCCCGTTTGCAGAAGAACACCCATGACACCAATTCCCTGTGCCTGTTTTTGTTACCAAGTGCATAATATTCTCTTCAAAGCTGTTCAGTCCGGAACATCCAGAACCATTACACACATCGATCACTAACTTTAAATGGTGTATATTACATCTTTCATTTCAAATTCTCTCCATCTTACCCTTAGAATGTCTCTTTTCCTTTCCCTCCATCTCCATCAGTCTCTAAGGCTGCTTCATTGCCCATTTCATTTTCTCTGGCCCCTGATCTTGGTTATACTAGTGTAAAACCAGTGATGTCTCTGGAGTTGCTCTGGCCTCAGGACGTTCCAGCCAAGTAGCTAAGTGCTGATGCAGTGGAGAGGAATATGTGGTGCCGGATGGCCGGTCTGCTGAAAAAGCCTGGCTTCCCCTGCATTTCCAAGGGCATCTCCACGTTTCCTCTATCACTACGTTACATCCCCAAAACATACGGAGGGTGTTTCCCCATCTCTGCTATCCCAGTCCTTGTGGTTCTCTCTCTCATGGACCAGACCCTAATTCCCAACTGCCACAGAACCTTCCTGCCCCAACACCCTTTCCCCTTGAGGATCACATTTTTTTCTCCTTCACACAAACTCTGCGATGTCCTGCCTGTACTTCTCTATCAGGTTGTGTGGCCTGCGGACCCTGCAAGCCTACGCCGAGCGAATTCCTGTTGTGTCCTCTGCCGGCATCACCATCAGCTTCACCTCTCAGATTTCCCTAACTGGACCCGGAGTGCAGGCTGCCTACAGCCTCTATAACCAATCCGATCGTGAGTACAGGGCTTCTTATAGCCTAGAGACACCGACTGAGAATGTGGGCTGCATCTTTCACTGCTACCCAGTCACCAGCAGCTTCCTCAAGCTCCTGGCACGTGTTGAGAGCCACACATGCCAAGTCCCAGAACAAGCTCACCTATAGGTACATACACACGTTACCCTCACGAATACACATGCACACACCACTCTGAACCATGGACACACAAACACACTCAGGCACACAACACTTGATCATACACAGCTCACAGAGGTATTGAGGGACTGTACACCTAGGCACAGGCACGCAGACTCACCTCTGCCTCTGTATTACTGAGCTGGCCTTGGAATTAGATGCCTCAGCTTATTTTAATTTGAAATGACTGTTTCAATCACAAAGGCTCCTGGAGAGTTATTTCCTGCTTTCCCTTGAAATCCATGCATGTGGAAGACAGAGAGAAAGACAAAGCCTGACACACACCCACATGCGCGCATACACGCTCTCTCCAAGTCGGTCTTGTCTTACTGTGCAGTACAATGCACATGGTCCCTCTCTGCATACTCCCTGCATGTCCTGGGGACACCTTTTTCAGGTCCCTGACCAGGGTTTTGTAACAGCCCCCAGGGAATCTATCCCCGTATTCCACCCAGCATCATGCATGGTGTGGCAGGATGTAATAAACAGTGTAGCTCCCAGGAGTTCTGGTGAGAGATTGCTCTTGATTTCCTGGACCCTGTCATAGGACCTGCATCGGTTACAAACGGTCAATACCCGCATTGCCTAGCCAGGGTCTGTATGCACTGATTCCAGGGGCTGCCGTTACACAGATATAGCAAGCGCTGCGTGAACATCCCTGCAGATCTGGCAAGGTCAATCAAGCTTGTAGTCACACATTTTCGTCACACACTTCCGAGTGTTTTGCTTTTAGGAGGTCCTGTAATGGGGACTAAACATTCCCTTGTGATTTTTTTTAGCCTGTCCCGGGGAGTTCCTCTGTTCTGTCAATGGACTGTGCGTCCCAGCCTGTGACGGGATTAAAGACTGCCCCAATGGACTGGATGAGAGAAACTGTGGTGAGTGGTCCATTATTTCTACCCCCTGTCTCTCCTCAGCGATTTGCAGCCCAGTTCAACCCTCTCCTGCACAAAGGAGTTGGTCTCCAGGGTCCAAATCCAACTCTCTAATGGGGATCTCTGGGGGAGACAGGAAACCCCCTCAAAGACTTCACAGAATCAGTCAGGGGGTGAAAGTAACAAAGGCATTTGCCTGGTTACATACAGGCAGTGAATCTTCAGTCCACCAGAGTCACACTGCTTCAGTCTGTTAGGAAGTGATACTGAAAGTTCAATGTGCACCTGGCTCCTCCGTGCACTCTCGAGGCCATATATCCCACAGACAGCTGGCCCCAGAAAATGGGGCAGTAGAAAAACAAATAGTTTCCATACATCAAGATGTACAAGTTCCGCAAATAAATCACTGTCCAACCTACAGCACTACACTACCCCCTCACTGCTAGTACAGTGCATGCGTGACAACCGCTCTCTCTCACCACAGTGAACCTCAGTCCTGGCTTACAGCCCCACCTGCTGTTCTAGGCCTGGGTGTCCCACGCTGCTCTGCCAACACACACCAGTCTTGGCCGCCCATAATATATGTAGTGCTTGCTCAGTAGAGCTCTGGGTCGGGGTGCTCTACTCACCGCTGGATAGCGTCGCCCACTGGCCATTCTGGGTATTAGCTCCATCAGGCCAACACCCTTTCCTGCAGTTGCACTCCATCTCTCTCTTTCAGTCTGCTTCCTCTTCAGGACTTAGCCCTCCAGCCAGTTCACTAAGGTCCTCCCCTTCCAGGGTAGTCTTTCTAAAATCTCTCTACAAGCAGCATCAGGCAGTCCTCACACTGCTGCCCAGACCAAGTTATTCCTACACTGACTCCAGCAGTCTTCATATCCACTGCCTTTAATGGTACCACTCTGCAGTGGATGGTAGGGAAACCCAGGCCCACCCTCTACTCTGGGTTCCAGTCCAGGGTCCTGTACTGAACAGTCAAGGTCTGCATCTCCACCACCTTACTGCTCTCACTCCTGGACTCCTGCCTACTTGGCTTCTTCTCCCCCTTCTTTCTCCTTTACCTCAGGGAGAGGGGATGCGGGCTTCTTCCCTGTTGTCCCCCCACACTGCTGCCGGCCTCGTGTCTTTATAGAAGCCCCGCCTGTTCCCTCACAGCTGAGCTTCCTTCTAATTAGCTCCCTCCACACAGCCTAAAACACCGCTGTTTGCAGTTTAACTGGCCGATTGGGCCCACTTGGCCTAATTCAGCTCTTGCAGGGCTGGTGTGGGGAGTACACTCCCTCCCCCCCCGCCCCCAGATTCTTTGTATTTTTAAACCACTTGCAAATATCACCTAACTAACTCTCACAGCTGTCCTGGAAAGTATTCTTAGTATTACTACAGATTGGGGGGCGGGGAGGGACAGAGGGGGACAGAGAGGAAGGTTAGATTATTTGTCCAGGGCCACCCAGCAAATCAGTGGCAGAATTGGCACTAGAACTCTGGCATTCTTAGGTCCTAATCCCATCCTCAGGGCATTAGACCATGGTGCCTGTATGCAACGCTGCCCATGCCTGTTAGTCCTGGCGTGCAACAGTCCCTCCCTGCTGTTCCAGGCCTCCCATGAAGCTCACAGTCCTGTGCTCACAGGAACATAAGAATCGCAGTGCTGGGTCTGACAAGGCTCTATTTACCCCAGTATCCTGTCTCTGACAGTGGCCAGCACCAGATAATTCAGAAGAAGGGGCAGAAAACCTTATTGTGGAAAGTTATTGAATAAACCTGTCCATGGAGGAAGTTTCTTTCTAAATCCATCAGTTAGTGCTTGATTTGAAGCATGAGGGTTTATTATCTCTAGTTGTCATGTCTGTGTGTGTCCCCCTCCCCGTGTCTTATGTAGCTGTGGATGTTCTCATTCTCTATATAAATATCTAATCCTTTTTAGAATCCTATTAAGATTAATTCAAACTAGAACAGGTGCAGAGAAGGGCTACGAGGATGATCAGAGGAATGGAAACCTGCCTCATGAGAGGAGACTCATGGAACTTGGCTTGTTTTGTTTAACCAAATGAAGACTGAGGGGAAATATGATTGTTCTCTGTAAATACATCAGAGGGATAAACACCCGGGAGGGAGAGGAGTTATTTAAATTAAAGGCCAATGTTGGCAATAAGAACAAATGGATATAAACTGTTCATCAATATGTTTAGGCTTGAAATTAGATGAAGGTTTCTAACCATCAGAGTGATGTTCTGGAACAGCCTACCAAGGGCAGTAGTGCTGGGGGGTGAAGGGGAAACATAACATGTTTCAAGATTGATCTTGATAAGTTTACAGAGGGGACAGTGTGATGAGACTGCCGTGAGGGTTATTAGCAAATATCTCCAAAGGCCGGTGATGGGACACTAGATGGGGGGTGGCTCTGCATTACTACAGAGAATTCTCTCCCAGGTGTCTGGGCTGGTGGGTCTCGCCACATGCTCAGGGTTTAACTGACTGCCATATTTGGGGTTGGGAAGGAAATTTCCCCCAGGTTATATTGTCAGAGATCCTGGGGGGTTTTCACCTTCCTCTGCAGCGTGCGGCGCGAGTCACCTGCAGATTTTAAGTAGTGTAAATGGTGGAAGTTTTTAAATCAAGATTTGAGGACTCCAGTAACTCAACCAGCGGTTAGGGGCCTATTATTGGAGTGTATGGGCGAGGTTCTGTGGCCTGTGACATGCAGGAGGTCAGACTAGATGATCCTGATGGCCCCTTCTGGCCTTAAAGTCTATGAGTTCTTGTCCTCAGTGATATCTTGTGGCTGTGAGTTCCAGAGGTTAATTATGAGTTGGATGTAAAAAGATAGTATTTCCTTTTTCAGTTTCAAATGTGCTGCATTTCAGTTTCACTCAATGTCTCTGTGTCCTTGTATTATTAAAGTGGGTAAATAGAAGCAGCCTGATTTACCTTCTATCACCTTCACTGTCCTGTGTGCCTGTCAAGCTCCCTCCTTTTCATCTCATCTCTAAAGCAAACAGCCCTAGTCTTTTAAATCTCTGTTTTTATTGTCCCAGATTTTTCCAGGCCTCTAATAATCTGAACTCCTTGTGTAAATTATTACATAAATAATAACTATAATGAGGCAGCGCCTGGAGACCCCAGCCCCATTGTGTTTGGGCCTGTCCACACAAGCATAGCAAGAAGACACTCCCTGCCCCCAAAGAACTTACAATCTAATGATAAGACAAAAGACAACAGGTAGATGCAACAAACAGCAAGGGGAACACGAGGTAACAGTGAGCCAATCGTAAGACAGATCATGTGCTGTGGCCCATGCTTACCAACCCCCAAGCCACTGTTGAGCGGTTTGCAGGCAAGGTGGGTTTAAGGAAGGATTTGAAGATGTATAGCGTAATGGCTTTGTAGTCTTCTAGTTTTGTTGTAGATGGGCTAACCAGGACTGGGCCCAGTATTCCAGGTGAAGGCACACCTTTGATTTATAGAATAGCATTAGACTATTTTCAGTATTACTCTCATTCCTATTCCTGATACATCCGGACTCGTTGCTTGCCCTTTTTGGGTATGTCCACACTGCATGCTAAGCCCAGGCTATAACTCAGGTTTGAGCCCAAGTCCCCCTTCCATTCACACACAAATCAGTCTGACTTGGGTCAGCAAACACTCAGGACCTGGGTCCTAGGACCATGCTGGGGGGTGGTTCAGAGTCCGAGTCCTGCTGTGACTCGGATCCAAGCCCTGTCATTTTGAAGTGTAGATGTAGCTGAAGCCACAGACCCAATTCAAAATGTCTGCGTAGGGCAGTGTGGACACATTAGCACAGCTCTGAGACCTGCATCCAGCAATTGTAAGCCCAGGTTTACAATGCAGTGTGGACACTCAAGCGCAGGCTTGGCAACACCCAGTCCACAAGCCCACGTCCCACAGACCTGGGTTTACAATGCGGTGTAGACATACCCTTTGAGCCTGGCTGTACACTGAATGGAAGCTTTCAATGAGCTATCTAGGATGACATCCAAGACTTTTTCCTGCACAGTTAGTTAATTTAAAACAGATCAAGTTTCTTCTTCTTAGATGAATTACTGAGCATTTGTTAACAATTTGTTTAATCTGCTATCGAGCTGCCCTCTGGAATTCACTGCAGTCTTCTCTAGTCTTGACTAACCAAAATAATTTTGCAGCAGCTGCAAATGTTGCCACCTCACTGCTCTCTTTTTCCTTGGTCATTAATGAATATACTAAACACCAGTCCTAGCATGGAACCTTGGGCATGCCGCTATCTTCCGCAGGGCCAGATGAAATTCATCCTAAAGTGCCTGCTTCAGCTAGTTCTGTAATCTCGGAACTGTTAGTAATTATCTTTGAGAATTGATGGAAGGCCGGTGAGGTCCCAGAGGCCTGGAGAAGGGCAAACCGTACTTATCTTTAAAAGGGGGAACAAAGAGGACCCCAGAAATTATAGACCAGTCAGCCTAACTTCAATACCTGGAAAGATACTGGAACACATTATTAAACAATCAATTTGTAAGCACCTAGAGGATAATAGGATTACGAGGAATAGCCAGCATGGATTTGTCAAGAACAAATCATGCCAAACCAAATTAATTTCTTTCTTTGACAGGGTTACTGGCCTAGTGGATAAGCTGTGGACATTGTATATCTTGATTTTAGTAAGGCTTTTGACACAGTCCCACATGACAGTCTCATCTAGGGAACTATGAATTTACTATAAGGCGGGTGCACAACAGATTGAAAGACTGTACTCAAAGAGTAGTTATCAGTGGTTTGCAGTCAGACTGGGGGGAAGTGTCTAGTGGGGTCCCACAGGGGTCAGTCTTGTATCTGGTATTATTCAATATTTTCATTAATGGCTTGGATAATGGAGTGGGGAGTATGCTTATAAAGTATGCAGATGACACCAAACTGGGCGGGGTGGGGGTTGCAAGCGCTTTGGAGGACGGGACCTTGCCGAATTGGAGAATTGATCTGATTTCAACAAAATGAAAGTCAATAAAGACAAATGCAAAATACTTCACATAGGAAGGGGAAAAAAATCAAATGCACAACTACAAAATGGGGACTAGCTGCCTAGGTGGTAGCCCTGTTGAAAAGGACCTGAGGGTTTACTGAGGATTGGGGCCTATCCTATAGCCCCCTCCTCCTACCGGACCAGGTTTTGCTCTTGCTGAGCCAGCTCACTCCCTGGTGTAATTCTATCTGAGCTCTCTCAAGGAATCCAGGGAAGCAGTTTCCAGCAGGCTTAGTTTTTTATTTTAAGCCACCTTAACAAATCAAAAACCCCTTCAAAGTCTGTGCAGGCTGAGCAGTCCCTTCCCCAAATCTGTCCCTCACACCGGTAAGTGCCGCAACCCACTTTCCTGGCTCTTTCCTCACAGCCTCAGGAAGAGAAGGACTTCACACAGTTCCCTTCTGTCCATTTGGTTTCTGGAGCAACCCGTCTGTGCAGTTGCTCCAGCAGCCATGAATTAGGCACACCATCCCTCAGCTTTTGGGAGGGTCTGGCCATCTCACCCCTCCATTTCCTGTTGCCCTCTTTTATGAGGATCAGCCAGTTACGGTCCACCTCTTTTCCCAGGTGCAGCAGGTGAGGCTAATCAGCCAGCCAGCCAGTCAGCTAGCGGCAGGCCTCTGACCCCAGAGGAATGGTATCCCTTATACTGTCACAGGGATATGGTGGATCACAAATTGAATATCAATCAACAATGTGATGCAGCTGAAAAAAAGGCTAATATCATTCTGGGGTGTATTAATGGGAGTGTTGTATGTAAGACATGGGAGATAATTGTCCTACTCTACTTGGCACTGGTGAGGCCTCAGCAGGAGTACTGGGTCAAATTCTGGGTGCCACGTTTTAGGAAAGATGTGGACAAATTGGAGAGAGTCCAGAGGAGAGCAACAAAAATGATAAAAGGTTTAGAAAACCTGACCTATGAGGAAAGGTTAAAAAAAACTTTAGAGAAAAGAAAACGGAGTGGGGACCAGATAACAGTCTTCAGATGTGTTAAGGGCTGTTATACAGAGGATGGTGATCAATTGTTTTCCATGTTCACTCAAGGCAGGACAAGAAGTAATGGGCTTAATCTGCAGCAAGGGAGATTTAGGTTAGATATTAGGAAAAACTTTCTATCTATAAGGATAGCTCTGGAACAGGCTTCCAAGGGAGGTTGTGGAATCCCCAACACTGGAGGCTTTTAAGAACAGGCTGGACAAACACCTGTCAGGGATGGTCTAGGTTTAGTCGGTGCCTCAGCACAGGGAGCTGGACTTGGTGACCTCTCGAGGTCCCTTCCAGCCCTACCCTTCTATGATTCTGTGATTAACCTTCTTTAAATCAAGATGGGGCATCTTTCTAAAACATAGGTTCTAGCTCAGCCACAAGTTACTGGGCCTGAAGCAGGAGCCCCTGGGTGAAAATTCATAACCTGTGTTACACAAGAAGTCAGACTAGATGATCAGAACGGTCTCTTCTGACCTTATAATCGCTGACTCTGTGGAACCTTTGCCATGATGAAAAGTTACCATGCATTTCTGCTCTCTGTTTTCTGTTGCTTTCCTGTGCTCAGTGCATTAGTCCATGTTGCCTCTCCTATAGCTCTGCCAGTGCACTACAGTCCTGACCCACAGCACCTTTCTGATGTGCTCTGTTCGCTATACCACATCGGTGCTCTGCTGATACACCTTAATCCTCGTGCACTCCCTTAGCCTCTCTTAAACAAAGATGGCCAGTCTTGCCAAAAATGGGGCTGTCTGATGGGCACAATATGTGACTAGGCTGAGATTCCCCTCCTCCCCCCAAATCATTTCACACATGACATGTCCTATATTTGATGCCAGGACTGTAGAGGCAAAATGGGCTGGTCTCTTAACCCTCACATCACTTGGGCCTCCCAGCCTGGGTAGACAGACAAGCGCTAGCGGGGCCGAGCTTGGGCGCTAACAGTAGCGGTGTGGATCTTGCCACTCAGGCTCTCACACCCACGTGACCCCTGGCTCTGAGCTCGGGGCACCAGCCTGAGTCTCCGCCGGAGCCGCAACGTCCCCACTGCTATTTTCAGCACGATAGCTCGAGCCCTGCTAGCGCCAATCTGACTGCCCTGCCCCGGTGGGGCGGCTCACTGCCAGCTGCAGTGCAGACATACCCAAAGTCCCTTTCTCCTATAGCCAAATGCCACATGGTGTTTCCAGTTGTGGCTAGTGGGTGGGTATTGCTGAGGGATAAGAGACCCGCTCTTTCCCTTTGCCTTGCTTTTCTGAATCCTGCCCGTTTCCTCCGGGTGCTTTGGTCTTAGTGTGCTCAGCGAAGTTCCAGTGTCAGGAGGACAGCACTTGCATAGAGTTCACCAAGGTCTGCGACCAACACCTGGACTGCGTCAACGGGAGCGACGAGGAGCAGTGCAATGAAGGTAGGGATGGGAGACTTCTGGGTACTGATAAAGTTCCCCCTATCAGCTAACAATGCATGCAGTGTTGTTGTAGCTGTGTCAGTCCCAGGATATCAGAGAGACAAGGGAGGTGAGGTAATAGCTTTAATTGGACCAGCTTTTGTTGGTGAGAAGTTAGTCCAATCAAAGATGTTACCTCACCCACCTTGTCTCTCTAATAAGCTATTGATAAGATTCCTCTGCTGAGTCTCAGATCAGGACCCCGCTACCAGCTAACACCAAAGTACAGCTAGTAACATTCTCTCTCTTAACCTACCAGCTAATACAGGGGTATTACTGAGGGAACTCCCACCAGGGCCGGCTCCAAGGTTTTGGCCGCCCCAAGCAGCCAAAAAAAAAAGCCGCGAACGTGATCTGCGGCGGCAATTTGGCGGAAGGTCCTTCGCTCCGAGCGGGAGTGAGGGACCGTCCGCCGAATTGCCGCCAAATAGCTGGACCTGCCGCTCCTCTCCGGAGTGGCCGCCCCAAGCACCTGCTTGCCAAGCTGGTGCCTGGAGCCGGCCCTGACTCCCACCCATCAATCTAGGAGTTCACCAAGGCAGAAGGTTGACATGGGTTCTTTTGGCTGCTCCATGCTCTCCACTGAAATACTCCAACACTCATTCAAGTCTCTCCCCTTTACTCCCCCATCCAACTTCATCTTTTCAGGAGTCCCCTGCGGGCCTTTCACTTACCAGTGTGCAGACAGGAGCTGTGTGAAGAAACCCAACCCTCAGTGCGACTCCGCCACTGACTGCAAGGACTCGTCTGATGAGAAGCACTGTGGTGAGGAGTGAGAAGGGGAAGTGCCTCTCCTAGGCACTGCCAGGGGGAAGCTCCCACTCCTGGAGTTAAGAACGGTGCTGGCTGGGCCCTGCTGTGAGGTACCTTGTTCTACCAGAGCCTTGGTTGGCACTGCTGGAGTCATGGTTGCCAGTAATGGGGCACTGCTCCGAGAAAGCTCATATTAACAGAACACCAACTGGCACGGACCGGGCACTGCTGTGAGGAAGCTCACAGCACGGGTGTCCCAGCTGGTGCTGATTGAGCTCAAGCGTGTGGGAAAGGTAGTGCAGAGTTCACCTGTGTTAATAATAGGGAAAAACCTCACACTGGAGTTTTCAGTCGCCTCAGCCTTGACGTACTATACAATGGCTCCAGCCAGTGCCAGGCAGGGTGTAATTGGCCAAGGGTATAAATGGTGTAAATGGCAGACTGGAAAGTCAGTAAAACAAAGGGGAAGGGCAGACATGATATACAATGGCCCCTTCTACTCTTTCTCCCCTGAGAGACTTGCTATGTCTTCCTCTCCTTAGATTGTGGATGGCAGGCCCCTCTGAACCGGATTGTGGGTGGCGCCAATTCCGTAGAAGGGGAGTGGCCGTGGCAGGCTAGCCTGCAGGTCCGCGGGAGCCATATTTGCGGTGGAACGCTGATTGCCGATCGGTGGGTGGTCTCGGCGGCTCACTGCTTCCAGGATGACAGGTAAATGCTGAGGGAAGAGCGCTGTGGAGGAGACCGAGTTCAGACTGCCTTCACATCGAAGCAGGTTGGGTCTCAGCCTAAACCAACTTGGAACTGCGTCACAGAATGGCCGGTCACTTTGGAACGATTGACGGTAGTGGCTCAGAGCTGCAGCAAGGAGGTCAGGCCTGGGAAACCCTGCTGGAGATGTGTGTGTATGAGGGCAGGACTGTGGTAGCAGGGAGGTGCAGAGGTGCCCTGGGAAGGCATACAGGGGAGGGAGCTTGCATAGCTCCCATCCACCCTGTGCTTGGCTCTGGTCCCATCACGGTCATGAACCCTAAAAACATACACAATTGGACTTTTCTCCTTCATGCGAGAAAAGAGTAAATGGGGACTCACAGGGGGAAGCCCAGCGTAGCTTTATGTGGTGAGATCACTGGTGGAGCTCAAGCTACCAGCACATTGGCCCCTCACCCAATAGGTGTTAGGCCAGTGATGACTTGCAAACCTCCCCCCGGGGAGGCTTCTCAAGCTCTGTCACTCATGTCACAGCCCCCTAGTGGTGACTTGTAGTAAATTATATATTGGTAGCACCCAAAGGTGTTAATTAGAATGGGAGCCCCATTTTGCTGCGAACTTGGGCAAGCACCGAAGAGAGACAGTCCCTGCCCAGAGGAGCTTACCATCCGGAAACACACACAGACGAAGGGTAGAGGAAATGGCTGCAACAGCCCAGCAAATGAATCCGGCGGAGCACTAGCACCGCTTTGCTACTTCTGTGTTTTGTAGGGTGGGGCTTGTTTTTATTACTATTATTATTTTGTACTGGGGTTAGAGGTATGGAGGAAGAAAAGGAGAGAAGGAGAAGAGGAATAGTCACAGTTGGGCATGTGCCCAGCCAGGACCAGCAGGCTGGGGTTCAGAGGCATCATGGCAGAGATGAATCTTAAGGAGGGATTTGACGGAGGATAAGGTGGCAGCTGTTTGGAGAGTTTGTCAGGGAGTATTTCCCATGCATTAGGGGCAGCACAGGAGAAGGCACGGAGGTGGAAGGGACCGTGTGTCCAAACAATAGGCCTCTTACAGTTTTTCCCCCCAGTCTTCTTCACTATGTTTTCCTCTCTGCCCTTCACCCTCCTGCCTGGAACATGTTCTCCCCCCTCCCATAGGCATGCTAGCTAATCTATCTAAACATCTCCACTGCTCCACCTCCAATCCCCACGTCTCTTGGCTTTTCCCATTAGGAGGTAGGTGCTATTTAATCTATGCTCCCATTTAGGGCTGTTCCTCCTTATAATGTACCCTTGCTCAACCGAAGGGTATGTCTTCACTAGAAACACTACAGCTGGAGCTGCGCCACTGGCGTCGCGTGTAGACACTACAGCGACAGAAGGGGTTCTTCCGTCGCTGTAGTAAATTCTAGTTAGGTCAATGGAAGAATTCTTCTGTTGACTTAGCACTGTCTACACTGGGGCTTAGGTTGGCGTACCTACATCTCTCAGGGGCGTGAATTTTTCACACTCCTGAGCGACGTAGCTAAGTCGACCTACGTTTTCAGCATAGACCAGCCCTCAGATATGTCTTTCCCCTCCTTTACATCGCTCCCTCTCTGACCTTTTCACAGAGGTTTCACTTTCCCCATGCTCCCTTCCTTTCCTTTGCCCGCCCGTTGTCTCTCTGATTTTCCAGCCTTCTCCTCACTTCCCTCACTCTCCTTCATTTCCCCTAATTTCTCACTCTCCCTTTTCATGCTGCACGCCCCACCTCTCTGTCTAACACTGACACACTTTTTCTCCCCTTGCCCCCAGTAGATTGGCTTCCCCGTCCATCTGGACTGTCTACCTGGGCAAGTACTTTCAGAACGTCAGCAGCCAGAATGAGGTGTCCTTCAAGGTGAGCCGCCTCCTCCTGCACCCATACTATGAGGAGGACAGCCACGACTACGACGTGGCCCTGCTCCAGCTTGACCACCCAGTTATCAACTCGCCCTTCATTCAGCCCATCTGCTTGCCCACCCACTCCCACCTCTTTGAACCTGGCCTCCGTTGCTGGATCACTGGATGGGGGGCTCTCAAGGAAGGAGGTACATGCAGGATGTCTGCTGCTCTTGTTAGGATCCTCTTTCCTCCAGGGGCTGCATAAGGGGGGGAGTTTTTCAAAGGCACAAATGGCAGTTAGACACCCAGCTCCCATGGAAAGTTGGGCTAATTACTCATTGTGCCTTTGAAAATCTCCTTCCAAATAAATTCTGTTGTGATGCTAGGAGGCTCACATCAAGGCTTGGTTGCTTCAGTATGGGATAATGTTCTTGGCAAGGATTTGACGCAGGGTCCCCAAAACAAAAGTCAGAGAACGTTACAGTTCCGAGCTCCTTGAAACATAATGGAGAGCTTTGATTTGCCCTTGCCCCCTTTACCGAATGCAACTGCAATCTACCATAATCAGCCTTGCCTCAAGGTGCCCTCCACCTCCCCCTAGTGGATCATCATAGTGCATCATGCAGAATTATCATATATTGATGTAACATCACAGCATAAAGACACAATAGCATGAGGCCCCCAAAAGATGAGAGATTTTAACTGTCTGGGCTTGCAGGCCCTAAGACAGACTCATAACAGTATGGGTCATCCTGGGAGGACCGGGATGGGAAGGTGCACTGCTCTGGGACAGCTCTCAGCTGGAGGCGTTGGGTCCGAAGACCTAGAGAAGGGTCTTTGTCAGCAAGTGACGGGAGCATGAAGGATTTTTGTAGCTATAATTCTTTACGGAGTGTGTGCATGGCGTATTACACACACAACAACATAATCTCCCAACGGACGCAGTAAAAGCCCTGGCTTAAATTTTCAAAAGCAACTGGTGCCCCTGACTGTCAGAAAGAGCTGAGCTCCTGCCCTCTGAAAATCAAGCCCCTTCAAGATGTTGAGCATCCCAAATATGGTGGTGCCCAAAATCAGGTGTCACTTTGGAAAATGTAACACCCCTCCTCAACCTAGGTCATTGAAAACTACACTGGACAAAGCACTAGTAAAAGTATAGTAAGGAAGACTCCTACCCTGGCAGGGAACTGGGCTAGATGGCCTACAGTGACAGGTCCTGTCCATCTAATAGCTATAATTCTCTGACAGATGAAAAGCGTCCAAATTCTAACCTGTTGTAGGCTGGTACAACTCCTTTGGGAGTGTTGAACCCAGTTATAGCAGGTGTCAGTTGCAGTGCCCTTCCAGTGAGCTGAGTGTTTAATTGAGACAGGTAAGTATGAAACCTGGGGAAAGAATTCCCAAGGCAATGAGAGGGCAATATTGGCATGAAGATCGATGCAGGACAGTTTTGTGAAAGGAGTGGGCGAGGAGGAGCGGGAGGGCTCTTGGCAGATGAAAAGGCTGGAGCTGTTCCAGACTTGGAACACAAGGGGCGGCATGAGAGACGGTGTGGAGCAGAGGTCAAGAAAAGGAGCCAGAGCGCAGTCATGAGAGAGGCCTGAGAAGAGCAGAGCTGGCTGCAGGGACGACACTGGGCCCAGCGATAGCCCTGCACTTGTGCAGGGACAGGCACCATCACACAGATGGAGGGGCTGCAGCTTGCACTTCCTCCAAGCAGCAGCTGCAGGAGCCAGTGCAGCCCCCAAGGGCTGTCCTAACTTGTGCCCCTGGTGAAATGGTCACTACAGCCTGCTGCTCTTGTACAGTATTGCCCATGTGTCTCCTGTTCCCCTCATGGAGCTGGTTGGGACAGTCATGGAGACTTAGCAGTTTGGATGAAGTTTTCATCAGAAAGATTCTGCCTTATTCTGGGATGAAAACACTGCTCTGAATCAGACAGGACAGGGACTTGAACCTGAGTCTCCCATCTCCCTAACCACCAGGCCACGTACCCACACTACTTCCTGAATCCTTGAGGGGGCCATTTAGGGATCTGTGGCAAAAATTGGGGATTGGTCCTGCTTTGAGCAGGGGGTTGGACTAGATGACCTCCTGAGGTCCCTTCCAACCCTAATATTCTATGATTCTATGAATCGAAAAGTTCTGGTTTGGATCCAAAACCGGACAGTTCAACACAATTCTGTTTTCATGGGGACGTTCAGAAGGCCATGTTTTCAGTCCACTGTGAGACGAAAACAAGTTTTGAAAGCGCAAAAGTTGCTGCAAAACGGAATTGTCATCCTTCAGACAGCTCTACCCCCCTCGTGCCCCGCTGGTGCAAAGGGGCTGCAGTGTAATGCTGAATAGGACCCAGTTGTGTAGAGCCTTGTGGGTGAAGTGAGAAGCTTGAACTGATACAGTAAAAGGTGAGAAGCTAAGGTAAGGATTAGGGGAGGGGGGGAAGATGTGACGCAAGTGGAGGACAAGATGGTGATCCGAGTGGCAGCTCTTTCCATGAGCTGGAGAGGTGAGATGTGGCCGTGGTATGGGGATAACAGGAAGAGGCAGGGAGCTCTGCTGTTACTCACTGGCTGTTCTTGTTCCATATCTAGGGCAACTGAGTAACATCCTGCAGAAGGTGGATGTGCAGCTGATCCAGCAGGACATCTGCAGCGAGGCCTATCACTACCAGATATCTCCCAGAATGCTCTGTGCCGGCTACCGCAAGGGCAAGAAGGATGCCTGCCAGGTGACAGAGGAGACATGGGACACTTCCATCTTAAAGGGGCATCATCCAACAATGGATGGGGGTGGGAGGTCTTTGTCCCCTGAATATGCGTTATAGCTTTGAATAAGGAGTATATTGATTCCAAGAGGTTAGAAGAAAGAGCTTCTTGCCCCAACTGTAGGTCACATCCTGCTCATGCTTATCCTCTGGTGCAAACGCAGAAACTTTTCAGTTTCTTAGGATTATGTCCAGTCTCCCATGAGCTCCCCACAGTGATGGAACCTTGGTGGAGCCACACGCAGCTCCATAGGGAAGATTATCCACTTCTTCCCATGGATCCTCGGCTTAGTCAGGAATGCTGGTGACACTACAGCTTGGATTTTCCCTTTTCCAATTTCAGGCCATTACGTCCTCGTCAGCCATTCCTCTGCTTTCCTACTACGAGCACTTTCCCTGTCATCTACCTGAAGACTGTTCCCATAACTCACCCCACCCCAGCATGTGCTGATTGGTGCTGCTGCTCTCTGCCTGCTCCTACATTACCCTTCATCCCCAGGCAATTCCACTGGCACTCCATTCATTTTAGGATCCAGTTCAAATTTGCAATTGGCAAAGCCCTCCCTAGACTTGCTCCAGCCTGTTTCCTTCTGAGGACCTTCCACTGACTAGAAGAATAAGCAAGAGGCTTATTGGGGAAGGGGACACGCATGGCCGAGGATGTGCCAGTGGCCAATACCTTTCCTTAGAAGACTTGGATTTCTGATGCTATCCTACACCCATCTGCCTAAGATACTTAGCTCCATTGGGGGTTCTGCCAAGGCCTTGGGCAGTGGGATGGAGGGGTTGAATTGCAGCCTGAAGATGAGAGGAAGTAGGGGAAATGTATTCTCAAAGCATGTGCGAGTTCTTCATCATGCTCCACCCCCATCACTTTAATGTCCTGATGGTTCTGTTTCCTTCTGCCTCTAGGGTGATTCCGGAGGTCCCCTCGTCTGCAAGGAGCCCAGTGGCAGGTGGTTCCTGGCTGGCCTGGTGAGCTGGGGACTGGGTTGCGCACGTCCAGATAATTACGGGGTCTACACCAGGATCACCAGGGTGCTAGGCTGGATGAAACAGACAATGAGCTGAGGGATGTCCCCCTGTGCCTTCCTCACTAGGCACAGGCTGCTCTGTTACCTGTTCCTGACCTTGATCACTTGTCTCCAGAGTGTTGGGAAAGACAGAGATTATGATTTGGGATGGAGGAAAGTATATCTGCCCCTGGGGGTATGTGAGGACATGTGGGAAGCCCCTCCACCCTCTCCAAGAAATGCCCAGTCTTGTATTAAGGCCAGGCACACAAAGGTCTCTGGTACATTAAGGGGAGGGAGGATGGAAAGCTGGGGGTTCTGAGCAGATGCTTTCTGGACAGGAGAATGGGGGAGATGAACTTTACATGAACTACATAATTCATCCCCAGTCCCAACGCTGGAACATTTGCTGCAAGAAAAATCTGACTGATGTAGATAGAAATGAGATTCCAGTAACTGTGATATCAATCTGTCTCTCTCTCCTTCCCTGCCATTCATTCTTCTCCTCCCCACACTTCCCCCCACCACGCCTCCTCCTCTCCCATCTCTATAATTGCTTCTTTCCTTAGCTAGAGGGTGTAGTTAGGTTCAACTGGGCAATTATTTGTCTATTAGAGCCTCCAAGACATGATCCATCACTTTTCCCAAGTACATGTCACTGCCTCAGTGCTGTAATTTCAACATCATTTTATGCTGCAATTGGACTCCCTCCAGGCAGAATTCTTGGCCACTGAGTACATAACATCTGTGCAACCTCCTACCCGCTCCCTTGAATTCATTTAATACCTTTAATACAAAAGATCTTCCTTCACTTCCATCCTCTGTTGCCAGCAAAGTGAGGGGAGAAGGCAGCAAGCAAAGTATTTTAGATGGTGATGGCTATGTATTTATGAAGAAATATTATGGGCCAATGTCTGGAATTGGGAATAAAAAGCATTATTTTTTTGCTCTGCAATTTTCTCTCTCTGGGTTGAGAATGTGTCTGTCAGCCTAAAATTCCATATGCAGCAACTTGATGAGACCAGATTAGAGAACCTCAAAAAGAGACGAACACCTCCCTCTCAGCTGCAGCCTGGGGACAGCATGAACCATCTGTAATCTGTGTGGGTGCTTATACAGTGCTCATCACTGTGGTGTGAACTGCAACAGGAAGAAGTTCCCCCATCAGCCCTGCTATACACACTTGGGGAAATACACAGACAGTAAAGGGAGGCCCAGCCAGGCTCCCTGGGACTGTGGGAATGTCTCTGTCACTTTAGCCAGGAACCAGGAGAACATCCCTTTCCACCCCTGAGAATGGAAGACAATGTGTGCAATAAATATCAGTATTTAGGTACATTAGGGTCAGAGTAGGTGACCAGGAGCACAGGCCAGGGCCAAGCCTCCAGGCTGAGCTGCACCCAGCAAACAACTTTTGTATCATGCATGTTTATGAATTTTATCCTGGGCCGAGTGAGCAATGGACACAGCTTCCTTAGCCCAACATCATGTCCACTGGGACCATAAGTCTCCTGGCCTACAGAGTGCTGGGTATAGGGACTCCATTCACACGCACTTCCTGCCTCACTTGCCAGTCGGGAACAAAGGGGTGGGGAAGGAAGACTGGCTCCGAGTGGATGAGTTCTAATGTCGTCATGCAGTTAATCTGAGGCCTCAGTTCTAGCTCTCAGGTCCTTCCCATGAGCACCAAAGTGCTGTGGCAAAAAGGAGAGGAGACAGCCAGTAATGGACAGTCACATTTATTCAGGAGTTATAACACAGCGGAAACACCCCATGCCCAGAAGCACTGGCAGGCATCTCCTTCCTAGAACAGTCAGAAGCTACATCAGAAGCCAGGTACGCCATGCTATACTCCTGCCTCTTTCTCCCCCATTGAAATTAAACCTCTCACTGCAGGGCCTCTGTGTGCATATTACCCAGCAAAGGGTCAATGCTGCCCCTTTACTCCTTGTGCTAAGCACAGGCTATCTGGAGAGAGGCAGGGATTCCCCATTTGCCCCCTGGTGACAAGCAAAGCTCAACTGCCCTCCCCAACAGTGGCTCTGACAGTAAATCAAACACACAGGCCTGAATCTAGTCAGCAGGTGGGGGTAGGAAGGAAGCGTGTAGCTGCTGAGTTCTGGACTCTCCAGCAGGGGTAACTGTGACCAGTGCTTAATTTGTAGTGAAAGAGGTGCTGGGGCTCAAGCAATGATTTACTTTCAAAACTGATGCGACAAGTCCAGAGATGCCGGGGCTATGAACTGCCAAGCCTAGACATGCCAGGGCTGAGCCCTGGCACAAATTAAGCACTGACTGTGTTCCTAAAGAAGGGGAATCCTGTGGGCCTGGGGAGATTGCAGGGTGTGGATTACATCCCCTGCAGCAAGTCAGACACACAGGCGGGGGTATCTGCCTTTCTCAGGGGGGAGGCGGCCGTGAGCTTCAGAAACGATATTCCAAAACAGAACTTTAAAAACAAAGGCAACAAGTTGAGGGTGAGGAGTGGAGTCGCTGCGACGCTTTCCCCCAGAGGGCTGCCATAAACTACAGTACAAAAATAAAGATTTTTAAATGGAAATTAAAAGGCTGGAGTTGATCGTCGGTATCACATCCTGAGGCCTCTGGCTTGTAACAACTAGAAAACGAGAGAGAGACAAAGAACAAAACCAAAGGCAGAGAGAAATCAAGCATGGAGGAGAAAGGGAGAGCAGCACAAATCGAGAGGAAGAGGAAAAGCAAAGTGATGAGAGAACAGAAAAGAAAGAGACATGAAAAAGGAGGGAGGGAGAGAAAGAGAGAGGAAGGAAAATCCATGTGAGTAAAATATACTGACTCAGTATAATACTCAGGCCCCACAGCTGAGGGCAGAGAGACCCCTAAACAGAGGGATGGAGAAGGCCTGGCAAATACCAGAGAACCAATGACTCCCCCTAATTGTAGGGGTGTGGGAAGAGGGGTTCAGGAACCTCCAATTTAGCACAAATCCTGTAAACACCCTAAAAAGAGAGAAGCAAGGCTCCTTCCTCCAGGCCTCCTCACCCCCTTCACCCCCTCCACCACACAACTAGGGCGGTGAGCCCAAGTTCTCTCTCTCTCTGCCAAAAATTGGGGTGCACTTCACACAGAGCTGCCTAGTTTCTATTTTCACCCCCAGAACGCTTACCCTGTCAGAATCTGCTGGGAAACACCCAGCTGGCAAAGGCTGCTTTTAAAGGCAGGGAAATATATGGAAATCCTCACGCAAAATATTCTTTCAGCTACCAAGAGGAGGATTAAACAGAAGCTGCTGGGGAAAAGTCCTGGGTGCACATATGCCAGGCAGAAATACAACACTCTCCCCAGCTCCCCCTCTATCTTCCTTGCCCTGGTTCCCATCCCTCTCAATGTCTCACAGCTTTGCTCTTCCTTCTGCTACCAGAGCCTCTAGTCCAGAACTGTAAGGCCTGCTTAAAAAGTAAGACACACACAAAGAGAATCAGGAAAGCACAGAGTAAAGAAAGAATCAACCACTCCCTGCCCCCACCAAAGACCTACAAACCAGGGCCAGATCCATAAGAGGGGAGGAGATGAGAGTCACTCATGCAGAGCTCAGAGTCATATCTGAGAGAGCAGACAGGTACCATACCTGCAGAGGAGGAAGAGTGAGGAGCAGGAGGAGACAGGATCCTGAGCAGGGAGCACACAGGACACCAGGAGTGGAAGGTGGGAGGGGAGGCAGGAACTTAGGTGCATGAGGAGAGAGAGTGAGGGAAGAGGGGAGTGGAGGGAGGGATTCTTGGGGAAAGAACTGTGTGGAAGGGAGGAAGTAGGAGAGAGGTGACAAGAACCCCATGGGGGGGGAAGGGAGCAGGAGAGGGAATCTGGACAGAATTAGCAGAATCCCAAGTAGATTAATTTGCTGCAAATAAAAATAAAAAAATAAAAAGTTAAATATAAAGTAGCAGCCATGTGTAACAGATCTCCCGCCTCTACCACTGAGACCTCAGCCCCACTGCATCCCCTGCTCCCTGGAGTGGTTCCCTCAGCCTCTTCCCTAGTGCTTCCCTGACACTAGCTGTGTGGACTCTCACCAGATGGGAACAGACGGCTTTATGGTTGGGTTTTTATTATTATTTTCCTCAGGGATTTGATGCACCTTTCTCCTCTGCCTCCTCCTCCTCCTGCTCTTCCTCCTCTGGATCCTCCTCTGTGCTCTGCGGCCCAGCATGCAGTACAAAGGGAAGAAAGATCGGAGACACTTGCAAGATCTGCCATGGTGATTCTTGCTCATGCGCAAGGGCTCAAAGCAGCGGCCAGATTTGGGTATAGGGAGGAATGGCTTGAAGACCTTTAGGGTTCAGAGAAATTCAGGCTTCCTCTGGAACCCTGAGCAGGGATTGTCCATGGGAATCAGGCAGGTACGTCTCCCCACATAGAAATGCAGAGGGTTGTCGGGGACCGATGGATTTTGGTCCTTCCCATGTTCTGTGTGTCTGTATCTACCAAGAAAGTGTGCCCCAACGGAGTTTCTCCCCTCCCTCTCTGGCCTGACGGTGAGGAGAATGCTTCCCATTTCCACACACCACAGCTCAGTGGAGAAAGCGTTCCTTACTCTCCAGAAAGAGGATGTGGTCCTCTAGTCAGCAAACAAAGGTACCCACTGCAAAGCATTATGGGTATTCCCACACTGATGGGTCTGATGATAGTGACACACTCAGCGTGGGTAGGAAGAGAGATGAGGAGGCAGACTGGGGAGGCACGAGAAGGACAGGGGTACCTTGTTATAGTGATTTGCCACACACACAAGGTCCTGTTCTTTAGGAGGTAGCACTTCATGACTCTGAACAAAGGGACAGGCCATGACATTTCACCACCTGGTTAGCCCACCACTGAGGGGGAGGGAGGAAACAGAGAAGAGGCTCTTATGGTGATGAAGACAAGCCATTAACAAGGACGGTGAAGTGCAGGTTGGTCTCACCTTGGCTTTGCGGCTAGGCTCAGAGCTCAGGCCATTGGGTGAGTTGTACAGCTCTTTGGAGACTACGCACAGGAACTCTGTCTGGTCCTCATTCCCATAGTTATAGGATGACCCAATATTCACCAGCTGGAAGTGACAAAAGAGAAAGTCAAAGATCTCACACATGCTTCGCTACACGTCCACTTCTCACTGGGAACAGGGATATGGACAATGCCCTCAGGGAGCATGGAGTCAGATACTTATGTGCTACTCCCATCAAGAAACCAGAGGGACTGAGGACTAAACAGAGGCTGTGACACAGAGAACTGGGGGTGGAGGAGAACTGCTGTAACACAAAGCACTGTAACCTCACGCAGATTCCTCCAGGCTCCCCAGAGAAGAGGTGGCAGAGAGATGGGATCTACTGGCACTGTACCTGGTGAGTAAGCAATACCCACAGTGGAAGTGGTGTATTGTGGCGCCTTGATGTTAGAGCGTGTTCCCTGTCTCTCCTCTAGCACACAGCTCCTCTTCTACCCCACACATCCTGCTCTACCTGCTCAAAGCGCCATCCATCTGACATAGTGGAAACCATCTGAGTGAGCTCTTCTTCCTGGCACTGCAGCACCCGGTACACATGCTTCGGAGGCACCTGTGAGGAAAGTGAGGCACGTTGCTGAGGAACTCTGCCTTCGGGGCAGATGTTCCGGCAGGAAATTGAGCCAAGTGGCTACGTACCCTCAAAAGATTCTGAATGTTATTCAGTGACAAAAGCTGATATACCTGTGGCTGGGATTATAAAAATGAGGGCCCTACAAAGAGGTATACCCGCAACCCAACTTCATATTGCCCTGCCCAAAAAGGTGTGGTATGAGAGGACAAAGGTTTCTGCGGGATCACATCTCATGTGCAGCAGGAGAGCACATGGATTAAAAGGATCTACTATGAGGAGGGGAAGGGTCCAGCACCCAGCATAGGCCACACTCTTACAGGAAGTTTGCATTTGTTATCGTTGTTAATAAAAGCCATTGATATAGTGCAGGGGTTCTCAAACTGGGGGTCAGGACCACTCAGGGGGTCAGGAGGTCATTACATGGGGGGTCACGAGCTGTCAACCTCCACCCCAAATCCCGCTTCATGTCAAGCATTTATAATGGTGTTAAATATATAAAAAAGTGTTTTTAATTTATAAAGGGGCGGGGGTCGCACTCAGAGGCTTGCTATGTGAAAGGGGTCTGAGAGTATAAAAGTTTGAGAACCTCTGATATAGTGCCATAAATGTCCACTGTGCTCAAGTGTGGAGGCACAGTCTCTGCTTCAGGGAGTTCACAAACTAAGGCAGATAAGACAAAAAGTAATGCAAGTTCGTACATGGGATCACTGCCTAAGGAAAGAGACTATGGAGAGATTACTGGTGAAGCCAAGGATTCCTGAGTGACCTCGGGGAAAAAAAACAACCCACAATCTCTCTGTGTTTGTTTCCAATCTGCAAAGTGGGGGTAATAAGCCTGTTTTTCTCCCACCCTTTCTCTTGTCTATTTAGACTGCAGGCTCTTTGGGGGCAAGGGATGTCTCTGATCGTGTTTGTACAGTGCCTGGCACAATAGGGCTCTAATTTCAGTGTGTGTTACGGTAATGTAAATAACAAACAATTTTTAACTCTCATTATTCCTGGAATAAATGGGTATTAAAGAGCGATTTGAAGGAGATAGTCACAGCCAAAGATGGAGGAGTCACGCCTTAGAGAATTTCCCCACCACAGACACCCCCTCCACCTCCCACAGCCTCAGTGACTCCCCACCGATATCCCTCTGCCTCCCACAGTGATAGTGCACTAAAAGGAACAGGCTGGCTTCTTTCTGGAGTTGCAGGCGCACACAGACAATGCACCTTCCACCAACTAGCCCCTTCCCACACTGAAATAGCCCCTGCAGCTAATGCCCTGTCTGGAGGTTCAGGATATAGCACCCTTCCAGATCAGACAAGCGCAGCATCCAGTGCCACCTCTGGGACTTCCATTTTATTTTAACTACAATGAAGGTTTCCTGCTGGTGGAAGGTTTCATGACACAGCATGTATCAGTGGAATCATCCCTGTGTATTTATGTGCCAGCAAACACCTCCCATTTATGTGACAGGGCCAGCTGGGCTGACACACCAGGAATTAAACCAAGAACCTCCAGAACTAAAAGTATTGGTTGCTACAGCTTAAGCTAAAGCTCTGTGGCTGGGGCTGTAACAACTCATATCTTCTACAGATAGTCACAGAGAGGGATCAGTAACACCCACCCACCAGTGGGTTATTTTTCCATGGCACTTCCCCACTGTCCCTCCCATATTTGACCTCTTTTCTAGCTCTCCATCCCCTCTCCCCCGCTCCCCAGCCTTCTCTCTCCATTTTCCCTCAGACCTGTGTTACGGTGTAGTTCTTCTCCTCCAGTCTGTCCTTGATTATTCTGATTAAAGGGCCGATGTTATAGAATTCAGCTTCTTCTAGAACCCCTAGAAACACAGAGAGTGTAAAAGACATGGGAATAAGTATTTGTCCTTCTTAGTCCCATTTCCCAGTACTCGGAGCTTCCTGAAGGGAAAGCCCCATCTGGCTGCTTCAGGAATTCACATGCCTGTACCGAGAACTCTCTCCCCTGGGGAGAAGGGACACCATAACATCTCACATGAACAGTTCTCTGGTGCCTGGAAGCTCTTACACCTGGGGATTGAATTCAGGCCCCCTTTATTACTGTACCAAGGGGAGGCGCAGGGGTGACTAACCCAGTTACGATGTCAGGGCTCTACAACTGGAGACAGAACCCTAGCTCTCTGGTTAATGTTCCCAGGATTCATCCTACTGGGAAGTGTACCCATATCCCTACCCTGGCTGTTATTCCAGGAGGAGGAAACTACCCAGGCTTGCAGGTTATTTTCCCAGGGCAGGTTCAGGGCTCTACCTATTGGGCACTGAACCCAGGCACCCTGATTATTGACCCAGAGTGTCTATGAACTAGAGTGAATTTAGGCCCCTAGCTACATAAGGGCTCATTCTTGCCTTGTTGGTTACTGTCCTGTGGGCTCTGTTCAGCAGGGATTAAATCCAAACCCCTCAGTTACTGAGTGCTACCCACTTGGGAGTGAATCCTGGTTATTGTTGTAGGTATTGAGCCTAGTCTTCTGGTGCCCGTCCTGGGCCTGTTGCTGATCTCAGAATAGCACTTTACCCCAAAGCAGATAAACAAAGATGCGTGTTTCACTTCATTAACCTACAGTAGCTGCATCTGTCCGCTCCCCTGAGACATACATGATCATGTTTGCTAACAGGGAGGGCGTGGGGCACTGTATGTGTCCACAAGGGAGAATGATGCCTAGGAACCAGCATTCAGTGACTACACAGGTTCCCTCTTGAGATCAGAACATAGACAGGGCAAGCAGGTGAGATTTATTTGCCGTCAACCATCCCACGTAGGCCTAGGGTACACAGAAAAGTTATATTGGCATTGCTACGTCAGTCAGGGATGTGAAAAAAACCCCACACCACTGACTGACATACCTATGCTGACAAAACCCCTTGTGTAGATGCAGCTCTGTCAACAGAAGAGGATTTCCATCAACAAAGCTAACTTTGTTTGCAATGACAGAAAAACTCTTTCTGACAGCATATTCATGCCAGCATAGTCTCCATAGTGTAGACATACCCTGAGATTCCCTCAGAGCTTCTCATTCTCCCACCCCATTGGTCCCTCTCTCATACACTGGGAGAAATGGCATGCTGGGGAGGAAATCGATAATAAAGCATTCTCAGTCACTTAGGGCTCAAACCCTATGGGGCTAACACCAGGGAAGGCCATCCATTCCCTACTTGTTAATTCATCAGAGATCCTACTGGGCATCACTACCATAGAATCAATCATAGAATATCAGGGTTGGAAGGGACCTCAGGAGATCATCTAGTCCAACCCCCTGCTCAAAGCAGGACCAATCCCCAGATCCCTAAATGGCCCCCTCAAGGATTGAACTCACAACCCTGGATTTAGCAGGCCAATGCTCAAAGCACTGAGCTATCCCTCCCCTCTAGCCACTCCTTTCCCAGCCCCAATGACAAAAGCTTCATGCTCCAAATAGTGGAGCACTGGTGAGGAAATCAGTGTGCATTGGGTTGAATCAGCATGGGTTCACCCTACCATAATATCATACCATCACTAGCGACCAGGGGAAACTCCAGCAAGCTTTTTCTCCTAACTCTCATTCATTTTATTGTATGGCAAATGGGGCACAAAGAGTTCCCCGGGATGAGGGCTCCAAAGATAGCTGTCTTCAAAATCCTAGCGCAAGGGAGGGGGCCTGCCACTGTGGGGGGCGATTTTTTAGACAGCAGAATTGATATGGTCAGGATACTGGGTTAACAGCACCTACTGTAACCCACCTCTAAGAGAGGGATTGGGTGTTAAGAGGGAGTTTTCTGGGTTTCAACACTCACCCTCCTCAGCCATGTCTTTATTCAGTACCAGCTTGCCATGACGGAGGAAATTCAGGATGGGTCCAAAATATGTGGGGTCCCGGTCTATAAGGTATGCACCAGTCTCATCCTAACAATAGAGACAAGCCATGAGGGGAAGAACCCAGCGGGAAAACTTGCCACTGCCCCTAACTTCTCTAGAAAACGGACTATAGTAAAACAAGAACTGTAGTAATTCTGGTTTATATTTCTATTAGGGTGACCAGACAGCAAGTGTGAAAAATCGGGACGGGGTGGTGGGTAATAGGATCCTATATAAGAAAAAGACCCAAAAATCTGGACTGTCCCTATAAAATCAGGACATCTGGTTACCCTAATTTCTATAGCTCCTTTGGTCCAGTGGACAGGACTGAGGGTAAGGAAACCTGGGTCCTTTTGGCTGTTGATTTTAGGGAATTCACTTAATCTTTCTGTGCCTTGTTTTCCCTGTGAAAAAGGGGGATAATGATTAGTGCTGGTCAGGAAACAGTTTTCCAGTCTTGTGAGAATTTTTGAGATTTCAATAATTTTTTCCACCCTGAGTTGGGATGAAAAGTCAAAATCTCAAAAAGAAGAAAAAAAATTGTGAATGGAAAATTCAAAAAGAAAAACATTCAAACTAGAGAGATCAAAACATTTCAGTTCAATTTTGACTTTGTCATTTGTTTAACATTTTTAACCTTAAAATAACTTAAATTTCAAACCAAAAAATAATTTTAATCCAAAACCCAGAACTTTCCATTTAGAAAATGTCAAAATGGGACATGTCAACAAGTTCAAAACGTTCTCCCTCCCCACCCCCAAAAAAAAAAAAAACAAAAACCAGGAAATTCATAAAAATGGACCCTTTCCCAGGAACAGTTTTGATGAATCAGCATTTTCCAAGGAAAAACCATTTTATCAAAGAATTCCTGACCTGGTCTAATAACGATACCTATTCGCCTTCATAAAGTGATTTGAGAGCTACATATTAAAAGTAGCATATAAGAGCGAACTTTAGGGTCCCAAACCACTTCACAAACTACATGCATATAGTACCACAGAAAAGCAGCCACCTCTAGGATGGAAGGCTGCAGCCAACTGGTACACACCACACTGCAAAACAGTAGGGAGAAGAGGCATGTTGGAAAGCAAAATGGATTAAACCCGTTCTCTAATTTAAAGTACCCTGGGACTTTTAACATTCAGGCAGAACCTTGTTGTTATAGATCTCATCCTAAATGCACATGCAGAGCAAACTGCACAGTACTCTCAATTTATCTCCCTTGAAAGAGCAAAGGGCTGAAACTGATCCTGCTGGGGCCTGAGGTTCTTGGTATTTCACCCCTGAGGTGCAGACCCCCAAGCCTTTCCTATATATAATATGACAGGTTTCAGAGTAGCAGCCGTGTTAGTCTGTATCCGCAAAAAGAACAGGAGTACTTGTGGCACCTTAGAGACTAACAAATTTATTAGAGCATAAGCTTTCGTGGGCTACAACCCACTTCTTCGGATGCATCCGAAGAAGTGGGTTGT